GCGAGGCCCGGTGGGGTAGGATTCGCTGCAGGGAATTGGGGAGGGGGGATTAGGGATTCTATGCCCAACATGCCAAGGTACCTTACCAACCCACGTGCCGTATTCCACCTGAAGGTAAGCGATAGTTGATTTTTCGGTGACGACCGAAGGTGTATGATGCACTTTTGTCCACGAGGACTAGGCAATGTCTCTCTTCGTTTGCATATGTGTGGCAGGGAAAGGTGTTGCGATTTTCGGTTCTGGCGCTGGCCGCTGCGCGTATCTTTTTTTGGTCTCTTTATTCCCATTGCATTGCCATGAGACTTGGGGAATTGACCAAGAGGTTGGAAAAGAAAAGAGTGCTAGGTGTTTATGGGATTTGTCAACACCTTTGGGGTGATCTGTGTAACCGTCTATCAGGGGCGCTCTTTATCTCAGAGTTGATGATGCAGGGCAACTCGAACCGGAGGGCAAGAAATCCATGATGCACTCTTACTCCCGTATTGGTAGTCACGTACTTAACAATAACGAGGGGGTTCTCAGGATGTCACTGAGAAACTAGAAAAAAAGTATTAACGTCCGTTTCTCTGACATGGCGTCGGGCTGGGTTCCTCAGAGCCCAATGCTGAACAATGCAAGAATAAGCAGACAAGGGACGAAAACAAACACCTAAACGTCACCGTTACAAGCGGGAGCACCCGTTTACCCGCCCCAAGCCAAACTATCTTGAGATGTTTCGGTGGGGTCGGAATTGAACTTTTTCGCTGTTGAGACGATTTTGAGTTTGAAGCTAAGAGATGACAACCCTGTCAACGTTCAATGGTTAAAGGGGATCCATGCCGTTTTCAGAGAATTCTGGATCCTTTAGTTAAAATGAGTCGATGCTGGCTTCAAGTATTCAGAGACACTTGTTCCTAGGCTTTGATTGCAGCTCTTATTTGAAGTTTCTGATGCAAGTCACTTTTGTCAGTTGCACGAGGTTGTCCAAATTCTATGTAAGAGATGTAGGCTGAGTTTGTTCTCGACAGGGATTGAAAAGACCCACGTACTCATTGACCTTGTTAGACTTATAGCCCACTTGATTTTCTCTTCTCATTTTTATATCGAGTGTCTCATCTCTGGATTCAGTAGCTGAGAAGCATTTCGAATTGTGGCATTGAATATGTGTGCATAGAGGCCATGGCTCGACTGTGTTCGACGATTAGATACTCTAGAGATGCGAATAAATAAGTCTTCGTAACTTTTGTCATCTCTTGGAATCTGGTACACATGCAAAACTCAGGTTCACTCAAAAAACACACCTAATCTCATTGCTGTTTTCGACATTCTTTCATTTTGTCTCAGGACATTTACTATTTATTACCTTGGCACATGTACTTTCAAAATAGTTTGATCATGAATTTGTGGACTTTGAACTTGACATGTTGACATATTTAGATAAAGAAAGCAGACCCAGAAGTGCAACGGCAAGCTCAACATTCTGTTCACGTGAGTAATGAGGGTTAATAAGCTCATAGTGAAAACCGACTAATGTTGGGGGCTCTCAAAGTACAACATCAAGTAAGTGTCTTGTTAGACAGAAGCAAACCGGTTGGAATGCTGTTGCAATAAAGACACTTCCAATTGCAAGCCGCAATTGATGTCCTGCGTCATGTACCATTCCAAATGGCGAAACGGCTGTTCAAACATCAAGTATGGAAATTTTGAACCTTTTTTTCAAGAACAAGAAGCGCTACAGTCAATCATCGAAGCATTAATGCATGAGAGAGAGGTTTAGTCAACGCTTCATTTCGTCATTCTTGTTATACTTCAATATGTTTGTTGGTATCCCTATCACAGGGTATTGGTTCGAACCGTAGGGTCCTGGGGGTGACGAAGTATCAATATCTCTGTATTGGTTGATTCTGCGTAAGGAGTAGAAGGGAGATTTCAAACGCAGGCTGGGTGGACCGTCGAGGTGTAATTGTACCTTCTCGAGGTGGCCCCATGCTCTACCCTTACTCACGGTCGAATTGGGCTTCCAATCCGACAATGTTAAACTAACTAATTCAACGCTCTAAATCCAGCAAAGTCGAAGCCTAACACAAACTATTTGTTATCAGGGTCCCTTTCTCCCTGAACCTCAACAATGTCTCCCGCATCTATATCCGTGGCAGCAGGCGCATCAGGAACCAGCCGGATGAGGAACACCATGCATGGAATGGTAATAGCCATCAGCGCAGCATTCACGTAGAATGGGATCCTTGGGTCGGCGCTCGTCTTGGAGTTGAGAGCGTACGAGACGGCCTGGCCGGCGGTCTCAAAGGCGCGGAACAGACCGCCCGAGCGGGAGGAGGATCCGACGTCTGTGGAAAAGGTGCCGAGAATCCAGTATAGGGACAACTGAGTCCAGTAGCCGGTCGAGAACATGATTAGGTATGGGAGATAAGCTTCGGCCCATCTTCTGGTGTGCCTGTTGTGAAGCGACACTGTTAGCCTGAATCAGAGAAAGCGGGAGGGAATGATGAATAACGTACAGCTCATAATCGAGGGCCTCATCGATCTTGCCTCCACCGAACTTGCTGTACTCGATGCCGATCCAGATGAAGCACATGGCTTGGGGGATGATCCAAAACGCAAAGGAGATCCACGCTCGCCTGGCTTGTGACCAGCGGGACGTGTCCAAGAGCTTCCCGTAGGCGAGGACCATGACGATTGTGATTGCCGCTACGAGATGGAACTGTCAGCGTGGATCCAGGGGATGATGATTTAGTTGGGGGCAAAGTTGGGTTACTCACGAGTGATCAGCGACGATAGTGCGCGGGCCCGAACGGAGAAGTGCAGGGAGAGATAGGTGCCCATGGTTCCGCCAAAGAAGAAGGAGTAGAAGGCAGGAATGGACATGAGCCATGTCTAAAGGGTTTGGTCGTCAGTCCACCGTTCAAAGTCACCAGGGGTATTTCCTCCGAGCTTCAGAGTGTTCTCACCTTTCTGCGCTGCAAGTGCCTCCACAACGCAATCAGCTCTCTCTTCCAGCTGATGCTGCTGGCCATGGGGATCTTTGCGCCGTTGCGGCGTCGTACGCGACTGGTGGGGGACAGTAGGAGGGCCCAGATTGTTCCGGTACATTCTGTCATAGCCCGTGTTAGCACATGTACCCCAATTCGGAATTTGAAATGAGTGGTGCTTACCGAAGCCAACAAAGATCAAGTAGGTGGACCATGCGATGCCTCCAGCGTTGGCCTTGGAGTAGTTGGTCGAGAAGTTGATGGCACCTCCCACGACGCTACCAGAGTTTCTCATGGCAGACCAGATACCTATCCAGGCTCCATTAACAACTGTCACATCCGAAAAACCATCAGACATTTCTTACCCAAGTAGAACCCTCTGTCGTTCGCTTCTGGATACGACAGCATGGCGGCTGTTTCGGCGACGTAGAGGAAACCAGAGGTGAACCCCCCAAGAAGCTGTTTGCTCAGTTAGCTCCAGAGCACGAAGAATGAAGGGCGGGAAACATCAGAACTTACTCTTGCGAAGAGAAGATACCAGTCGATCGAGTACTTGGCGCTCACGTAGTAGGCCGAACCAGCAAGAGGCATGGAGACAGCGGCGATTATACAAGACCACTTGATTCCTATCTTGTTGATCAGAGGCCCGCCAAAGACGGTGATCATACAGCCGGCCATGTAGCTGAGGGCAGTCGCCAAGTTGGCCAGGTATGGGGTCGAGAGGCCACCACCTCCAAGATTGGAGATGGCATCGGACATTGCAGGACCGACAAAGGACAGTCTACATGGAGACATTAACTTGGATCCCGCGACGTTGAATTTGATGTCCGAGATGAGTCCAACTTACGCTCCAAAAAGGATCATCTGGAACAACACGCCTCTGTAGAATTTCGTCGACTTCGAGGCGCGGAGGTAGGCCTCGTCAACATTCTCGACAGCGCCCTCATCGTATACGTAGCTGGTGCCGGCGGCATGGTCAGTCGCGTCAGGATAGCTAGTCGTTTCGGGAATCTTGTTGTCGTCCTTTGTCTGTGGAGTTGCCATGGTCCTGGAGAGAGCACTGAGAACGTGCTAGAGATCGTGGGTGTCGAATCTGAGGATGAACAGATGGGCCTGGCATTGGCCTGTATATAGTGGTGTTGTCATATCATTAGAGAGGCTATCATTGGTTCATTCTAGGATGGCTGTAGTTTGTCAAAGATCCGTTGGACTAGTCAGTGCGGATGATGGTTTCCATTCTGTGGTTGGGTAAGGATCACTGGGTACGGATATGTTGGAAAGCTGGATTCGTAGTCTACGGCTTGATTACTGTGTCAGTTTGCCTACCTACCTATCTCCGGGGGGCTGACCAGTTTCACCGAGCCAGTAGAGGCTTATCACGGTTATCGGTAGTTGGTGCTTCCCCGGTTTATCTGTAAACCACCCCAACATGAAGATACGCAGATAAGCGTGTCAGCTTGTCAAGTCCGTATGGATAAAGGTATGGACACGCAATTAAGGAGCGGGCCTCTGTGAGCTCCAACCCCAACATTCTGACCGGGCCGGTCGACAACTCTAAAGGGTGGTGCTTCAACCGCTGTCCTGGGTTAGGTGGTTGAGGATTATCTGTATGGGCTTTTAAGAGGCCGAGATTTGGAGGATCGCTGCTGATAAACTTTGCGGAAACGCATACCCAAACGGGGGTTCCCCGCAAACGACCGGGCCGGTCAGTCGTCTTGCTCTTGGAACACTTCGGTCCCTTCCCTGGTCCCCTAGGAGTAGTGCAGGCGGCAGGCACAATTGAGTCCGCTCACCGGACGGAACAGCTTTCCCGCTAGGTTTCCCGTCCCGGCCCCGACCCACCCCCGGCGCTCGCCTAGTTGGTGCGGACCGTGATGGGACATCCGCATTCCAGGCCTTTGAGCCTTTTATTATAACGGCGGACGCGGCGGCTTGATCTACCACATCTATCTCGTGCAGCAAGAAACAGTCACTCACAGCATCCCGTGTCTGATTCTCTCCCCAAGAAAGACAAACACGCACCCTGTCACAGCCATGCCCGCTTCCCCGCTCCCCGTCCCCAACTCCACGACCTCCTTCTGGAGGTCATCCCCGCACGCTCTAGACGATCACCGGTCTACCCCGGAGCTCCCAACCGAAGTTGACATCGCTGTCATCGGCGCCGGCTATGCGGGTGTCGCGACAGTATACCATATCCTCGACCAGTGCAAGGCGCGTGGTGTTCCGCCGCCAAAGATTTTGATCCTCGAAGCCCGACAGGCATGTTCCGGGGCAACTGGACGCAATGGTATGTCTAGCAGCATCCCATCTTGCTAGGTAATTGGTCTTGCTAACATTGAATCTGGTGTAGGCGGCCATCTGAAGCCGGATCCGTACAATCGCCCCGCAAGTTTCGTGTCCACACATGGCATTGAGACCGCGAAGGAGTGTGCGGAGTTCGAGGCCAAGAACCTTATGGAAGTGAAGAAGGCCATTGAAGCCGAAGGCATCGACTGTGACTTTGTCTTGACTCGGGCTGTCGACGCCTTGATGTCAGAGACTATCCGCGATAAGATGAAGGCCAACGTTGAGCTGCTTAGGAAAGCTGGCGTTTCCGTAATGAAGGACGTATACTACGCCGATGGCGCCGAAGCCGAGCAAGTGAGTCGAGCCGCAGCCTTCACTTAGACTCAACGGCTGACTTTTTTGTTTTAGCTATCAGGTGTGAAAGGGGTCAAGGGCTGCCTTTCGTATACCGCCGGCACCGTCTGGCCGTATAAACTAATCCTCGCTCTCCTCTCAAAGGCCCTCGACGCCGGCGTCAACCTGCAGACCCACACGCCCGTCGAGGCGGTAACCAACACCCCCGACGCAGACGGCTACCTGACGCTAACCACGGCGCGGGGCACCGTCCGCGCCGCGAAGATCGTGTACGCGACAAACGGCTACACGTCGTCCATCCTGCCCGAGTTCGCCGACAAGATTGTCCCCGTGCGCGGCATCTGCAGTCACATCACGCCCGGCAAGACGCCTGCGCCCTTGCTGCCTCACTCGGTTATCATCCGGTGGTCGGATACGGAGTATGAGTACCTGATTCCCCGACTCGACGGAAGCATCGTCGTCGGCGGCGCGCGGTCCTCGTATTATCATGATTTGTCGGCGTGGTATAACAAGGTCAATGACGATGAGTTGATTGAGGCGGCGAAGACGCATTTTGATGGGTACATGCAGCGTGTATTCCGCGGATGGGAAGACAGTGGCGCAACTACGTCCAAGGTGTGGACCGGAAGTGAGTTCATAAGCCCCTATTACAATTTCCTTCTTTGTACTGTAAGCCAAGTGACTAACGACGATACAGTCATGGGCTATTCATCCGACGGATTGCCGCACGTCGGCGTCGTCCCCGGAAAACAGAAACAATTCATCATTGCCGGATTCAACGGGCACGGCATGCCGCAGATTTTCCTCTCGGCCAAGGGAGTAGCATCGATGATTATGGAGCAATCAGAGTTCAAGACTACGGGTATCCCCAAGGTCTACCAGGCTTCTCAAGCGAGATTGGACAGTTCCAAGAATTCGATCCTCGAGAGCTGGAAAGCGGTCAATCAACCGCCGGCAAAACTGTAGAGTATTTGAATTTCATATAAAGTTTCATATTAGAGGTGTTTTGCAGGGAGCATGTCAATCAAAGTTGACCTTGTTGCAAGTCTTGTAGTCATTGGTTCGGTTTAGCTGTTGCAGCTTAGGCAATTTCCGGAAGGAGCCTCGAGCATATTAAGCAATGTTGATTGCGAACCTACTAAACGAATCAGCTTAGTGTCGAGATATATCATAGAAGCTAGCCAATCATATTCATATTAACATGTCTCAATTATTCTCTTCTGCAGAAACATCCACATAATATCCATATTGCATGATACATTGGCTTCGTTGAGAACTCGAGGTTTCTGGCGCTTTGCAACCAGACCATAAATGTGTACTTAGTGTCAACACAATCGAATACATGTACGTCAATTGACGATTCATAGACTCATGACTTTCTTTGTCAAAACATTATGATCAAGTTACTTCCCGACTATGTACCGCTCTTACCCCTTCTTTTAGAATCTTCGGGAGTCTTCTTGAGTCTTCCGAAGTCATTGACGACAACAATTGACTAAGCAGTATTACACTCACCTATAAACGATCTCAATGCTTCAAAGGACATCGTCATCTGTAAGTTGTAAGTTGTAAATCACGCCCAGGTCCAATTATCGCGAGAGGCTGATTGCTCTTTGAAATGCCAATGGCTTTTCCCCGGCCCGAGCATCCCGATAGCGGCTTTGATCCGTCACTTCGGACTTCCATTGACCGTCCTTATCTTTCCGTTTTGGTGTTGCATCCGACAAAAGGCCCCAGTCTCCACCCCCACAGCCCCCCTCTCGTCGCCTTTAACCGCATATCAGTTGACTCGATAAGACCCGGGTAATGCGAACCAACACCGGCGACAAAACTGGCTACCGGAGAGCAGTATGTATATGAGGCCGGCTCCGGCGTTCAAGATAACCCTCTGGAAAACGTAATGTTGGATGTCCTGTGTGATTCACTCATTACTAAGATTTCTTGGGCGATGAGTTGTCCAGATCTGAGTAAACAGAGCGATTCGTACCCACTTTACGTCCACATGACTTCCTGGCTCCTATCGCCAAGCTCAACTTCCCCAGATTGTTGACCAGTCTAGCGTCGGATTCGTCCGCCACAATGTTCCATATCATCGGTGTAAATACCACTCAAGGCTCGTCTGTGGCATCCCCAAAAACCATGGGCTTATAGCCAGCAGAGCAACAGCACACGTGGGAGTGCACCGGGCCGGCGCTGTGCCCTGTAGTCCCCTTGTAACGTTAACAGTCGTATCCCAGCATCCGCTGTATCCCAGTAGATGAAACGAAGCTGATAACGTTTTCCTTCCCCCAGCAGTATATCCTTTCCCGGCGAAAAAAGGCCCACTCGAATATCAAAAGTCGATAGGGAACCGGGAATCGGCGCCGGAAATTGTATGTGATGCCTATTCTGAACTCCCCGCACTTCGCAACACGTGCGGGGAGACGACATCAAAGTCTCAAGATGAAGCCCAGCCTTCCATAAAGGCGCCACCCATGCAACGCCTCGTGATAAGCCTCATATTTAATCTACATCATCGTGTTGGTGCAGACCTCTCGGACCAACAGACACACCCTGAAGCAACCCCTTGCATCGTGTAACCATCCAATAGCCACCCCCGAACCTACCTCTTTCGGGCATCCTTTGTGCAGCACTCACACATACGCAAGCGCCTCAGCCAACCCCAAAACCACAATGACACCACCAAAGAACGTCGTCTTCGACGTGGTCGGCACCCTCGTCACATACGAGCATCTCTTCGAAGCCATCGACGAGCGCCTAGGCGAACGCCTCCGCGCCCGCGGCATCCAGCCCAAACTCCTCGGCTGCTGCTGGCTCGAGGTCGCCGAGCGCGAGTACACCTACCTCTCCATGTCGGGCCGCTACGTCGTCTTCTACAAGGTCTTCACCGCCCTCTTCTACCGCTGCCTGCACTACGCCGGCATCGAGGACCCGCGCGCCTTTGCGAGCGACGAGGACGTGGACTACCTCATTGGCGAGTGGAAGAGCCTGCGGCTGCGCGAGGGCGCCGCCGAGTGCGTGGCCAAGCTCCGCGCTGCGGGTTTCACCGTGTGGTGCTTCACGGCGGGCGACATCGCCCGCGTCGGGGGCTACTTTTCGAGGGGCGGGGTCGAGATGCCGGTTGAGAACTTGCTCTCGTGCGATTCGTCTGGCTTGGCGAAGCCGACGCCCGAGGCGTATGCGCCTATTTTGAAGAAGTTGTCTGCTGATGGATGCGAGCCCTGGTTTGCGGCGGCGCATTTATGGGATGCGTCAACTGCAAAGACTGTGGGGTAAGGAGATGCCTCTATTCCCGCATATTTGTGATGTATCGGACTCACTAACGTTTTGCAGATTCAAAGCCGCATACTGCACTGCTCTGGAGGGAGAGGCGTTACCGGAGATCTTCGGTGAGATGGACGTGGTGGCGGAGACTTTGCCGGCGATGGCAGACAGAATTATTGCTACGTATGAGAAGTAGACCGAAGATAATGCTGCATAATATAATAACTCATTAAGTTAAACTTGCGTTGATCGTTAAGGTTGAACATTATCAAATTTGTATAAACATTAGACAATAATTGTGTTAGACTCTCATCTACGAGCGTCCGCGCTCTAGTCTCATTGATGTTCGTCATTATTCGTTAAACTCATTTCGATCCGCCTGGCTTGGCTGCCGCCATCGCCGCCATCTTGGCTTTGCGGGCTGCCCTCCAACCCGGAGATTTGATTCGTAGGACTGTGAGACACACCGTTAGCATACAAGCTTTCCAAGAAGCGACTATGAGGGTGACTAACCAATCACAGCGGACCCAACGAGGACCAAGTCCAACAACGCCAGTCCAGTGAAACACCATCCGCTTCCCATCTTGGAGACGAGAGAAGGGATCACAAGCGCGGCAATGGCAGCACCGGGATTCCTGAGCATGTTTCCGAGTGCAAAGGCACCTGCGGCCTGCTGGGCTACGCACTCGGTCAAGAAGGCCGTCGTTGCCACAAACACCCAATTCATTCCGAAGCCGGCTGTACAGAAGTCACACACGTCAGCGCTCGAGTTTACGTGGAATGGGAAGCGAAAACTAAACGATCTATTCCTATATCGGACAAGAACTTACTTAAAAACGTGGCAACAAGAACGGCGGCGGGGTGGAGTGAGATATCGACGAACCACCCGTACATGGCACACCCGCCGGCGCAAACAATGACACCCCAGATCTGGTCTGCGAGTCTATTCTCGGGGTCGACGGTATTGTCAGGAGACGCCTTGACTGCACGCGCCCTACGCCAGTCCGAGAAGCGTCCGCCGATCAAGGAGCCCGCAATCATGGCGATACCGACGGCGAGGAAACCGGCGCCGACGCCTGCGCTGGACCAGTTGTAGCGGTCGGTCAGCTCGGTGGGGAGTTGCACGGCGATGGCGAAGTAGGTCGAGTAGAGCATGGCGGTGTTGAAGGACACGATGCCGATGGGTGGGTAGCTGAAGAGGCGCCAGTACATGAGCAGGGTCGGCTTGGGAGGCGGGGGACCCCTCTCCGACTCTGGTGCCAGGGGCGAAGACAGCTTTGGAGGGAAGACAATGAAGCTAGCTTGGGAATAAAGCCTGCCGCTGCCTACCCTGGCGCGCAGGGTCTCTGGAAGCATGAGAATGATGATGATCCAGAGCACGAAGCCGGCAATGGCTGTGAGGGTACAGTCAGTATGGTTCAGTCCGGTACTGGTTGAGGGGATGGAAGGATCACCAAGGAAGCCAAAGATCCAGCGCCACGATGCTGCCGTCAACGCGCCTCCAATGACTGGGCCGAGGACAGGGCCGAGCTGGGGGCCTAAGAGGAAGATGCTCATTGCGAATGCTCTCTCTTTGGGCGGAGTGACCTGAGAATCGGGTTAGCAAGGTGAGCGGTGGATGTGCGGTAAGTTCTCTCGAGTCACTTACATCGGCGACAGTGCCTGCGCCCATCGACACGACAGCCGCAGACCCAAAGGCCTGAACGATGCGAAGAAATACAAGAGCGCCATAGTTGGCTGGTACGGCGGCCAGAAGGATATTGGCAACGATGTAGATAGAGAGAGAGATGATGTATAGTGGTCTCCTGCCCTTCCAATCGGCGAAACTGGCCCAGAATAGGGGCTGGTGGGGTGTAAGCGTCATATTCTATCTTGAACGTGGGGTTTGAAAGGCTGGTTACATACACCGAAGGCGAACGTGAGCATGAAAACGGACACGGTGACGTTAATAGCCGTCGCGCTTGCGTGGAACTCGTTCTCCAAGACGGGCAGAGCAGGGAGGTAGATGTTGCCGGCCAGAGGGCCGAAACAGCCGGCTACGGTGACAACGATGAGGATGAAGCGCTTTCGCCATGGCGAGAAGGCCGAGTAGGCCGGCGGCACGCCGGCTTTCTTCTCTGGGTCTCCGGCGGATTGGGCTGGAGGTAAAGGCGACGGCGGCGGCTGGCTGGTGGTGGTGGTGGTATTAGCCGGGGCCGGCACCCCCTGTGAAGACATTGCGTGATCTTTGGTGGGCGTTACCGTGCCCGAAGTCGATGGACTGGAGTCGGCCATCTTTGACAAAGGATTCTGAACAAAGTAATACAGATAAGATACCCAAAGAACGAAAACCAAGAAGCAAAAAGACGGAAACAATGTGGACTGATGGAGAAACACAGGCGTCAAAAGCCAGCAAGCGGTAAAATGAAGCAATACTGCTTCGGTGATTACCGTTGTTTCTGATCTGGACGGATCAATGTGTAGAACCTGTTGTAAGTAGGGTAGGTAAGGTATGTGTGAACGATTCAGTGTCCATTTAATAAACCCGCTGACTTCTTGGGCAAGCTCTTCTCAGTCTTACACGTACTACGTACAGATCAAAGGCAGTGATCAGGAAGGATCCGTCCGACCCCGGCCCCCCTGGTCAGCTCTTGCTGGATCCTCATCGGGGCACTGCCGCAGTTCCCTGGCGGGCGTATGCGGGGAGGCTCCGCCCAAAGTACCGGTACCTCTACGGCCGAAATACGTACCTGAAAGCACGTCCCGGTCCACTTTTACGCCAACCCGCCTTGGGAAAGTCTAGAGAACCTCATCAAACTCTCTTTCTCTCGCTGCATCTTCTTCTTCCTCCATCCCTTGTCTGGTTCTTCTTGGCATCACAACTCGCATCAGGCCCGCTTGGCGGCCAATCAACCTTCCCAAGGATGTGGCCTTTTGTTCTTTACTTTGTCTGGTGCGACTGACCGATACGTGGGGCACCGCACAGCCCGGTGTGCCGCTGACTGTGGTCCAGGTCTGCAGACTGACTTGTACGACGAACTTCTGATATCGCAAGGCACAAATGTAATGTTCCATGCTCAACCACCAACTCGCATATGCGGTCTATTTCGAGAAGACGACGAGGCCTCTGTTCATGTCTACAGTGATTTCTAATCCTGTCTTCTAGCCTTCTCCTACATGTCATCTCTAGGCAGCTGGAGTTTCTGCTACCTTACTTTGGGTAGGGCTGAGGAGAAGTAAGGAAGATTACTTCCATCTTGTCGAAAGTCTCATCTCGATCCTTGTTTCTCGATCCTTGTAAGTGTCACCGTCGCTTTTTGTCTCTCCTCGCTTCCTCGGAACATCGGCCCTTGAACATATAAGCTTGTTATTTCTTTGTCACAGCTTTGACTGACACCGTAAATCACAGCCACCCTTCACGACGAGATGCTGTTGTTTTTGCTAGAAGTTTTACTCCTCGGAGCGCTGCTCCTTGGGCTCGTTTACTACTTTCTTCTCTTGCCTCCTAGATACCCGCAAAACATCCCAGCGATACCGTTCTGGGTAGCCCTCATTCCCTTCTTCAAGGACGTTGATCAGTCGGACATTTTCCGTCAGTACATTGACAAGCCGCTGCGTACCCACGGAGCAGTCAGGATTTTTTTCGGCGCGCAATGGAACATCTTGGTGCATCGGCCCTCGTATCTGGTTGAGATATTCAAAGACGAAGACTTGTACGAGAAGAGCGGCAACCAGAAGAAGATTCCTCACAGCGTCCTGGCAGAGTTCCTCGGCAAGTGTCCTTTGCCACCCATAGTGCTTCGCAAACGTTCTAACCCGCAAACAGGCGACAATATTATCTCGGCGAGAGGCGACGTCTGGAAGAACTATCGTTCGGTCATCAAGCCAGGCCTTCAGAGGACCTTCGATGGTGAAATCATCGAAAGCAACGCAGTCAGCCTGTGCCGTCTCCTTCGCGAATCCCAAAAGCGGGCCGGCAGTGGCGGCGGCGGCGTTGCTGTGCAGGATCTGTTGCAGCGGTATTCGGTCTCCAACTTCACCGAAGCCGTGTTGGGTACCAAATTGCATGTAAGTCGCCCTGGCCCCCACGACAACGCCGAATCTAGCAGGGGTGTTTCGCAGCGTGCTGACCGCAGCCGATTCTTCGTAGGCACTCGACAGGGCAGATGCTCCTATCAATCTCCTCCAGATGGCGGTCAAGAGGGAGATCTTCAAGCCCATCTTTATGAGCTTTCCGTTCCTCGACAGGTTGCCGCTCAAGTCTCGCTTGGCAGCCCGACGCACTGTGGGCCTCTTCAAGAACGAGCTCAAACGCGCGCTGCAGGCGAGCCACCACATGCCTGTGGAGAAGACAACATCCCTGTCAGACCAATACGACGACAAACTGGGCAGGCGCATGCTCGACGCCAGAGCATCGGGCATGTGGGATGAGAAGCAGCTCCTCGACAACCTCACCGTAGCATTCGTGGCCGGTCAAGAGAACCCGCAATTACTGATGATATCGAGCCTGTATCTCTTGGCAAAACATCCTGTAAGTCAGCAAACATACCCAGGCCCGTGCCGTCTCACGCGTGCATTCGTTGCTGACATGACTGGTGGGGTGTTAGGACGCGCAAGAGGCTTTGCGCCAAGAAATCCTTTCCAAGGATGCCAAGTCTTCAGCAGATCTGGCCAAAGAGGACATGCCGTATCTCACCTCGCTCATCTACGAGTGCCTACGCTTGTTCCCTCCTATTGGTCAATTGATCAACCGGAAGGCGGCGGAGACGGCGCTGCTTGGCGGCGACGTCGTAATCCCAAAAGGGACATATGTCGGCTACCACTGCTATTCAACAAACCGATGCCCGACTGCGTGGGGTCCCACAGCAGACAAGTTTGACCCCGGACGGTTCGTCTTACAAGTGCACATCCTTTGCAATATCATGAAGCTCACATTCGCAGGTGGGGATCGTCCTCAGAAGTCATCCAGCAAACCTATCGCCGCCGCCGGGCAAGGGGGGAGTGGATCAGCTTTCATGGTGGTAAGACGGACTCCAGAGGAAGAGTGGTGAATCATTTTGCCATTGTAGTCCTGCTAACTCTATCCCAGGCAAACGCGCATGCCTCGGAGAGAAATTCGCAATGTTGGAAATGAGGACCACCCTGATCCAGCTGGTCCGCGAGTTCTCCTTCACTTTGGACCCGATGTGGGTTGACCGCAAGACTCCGGTAAGTTTAAGAGTGCCGCTGCCTATGTCCCCCCGGTAGACCGAGCTCCTCCCCAATCTTTCTAGATTTTCGGCGCTGACGAAAAGCTTCTTGTTCGCTTTTTCCCCAGGCCGGTCCCCTTTACCCTCGGGCACTTCGGTTGGTTTTGACAGACAGGGTTGACGATGAAAAGAGCGTCGTGAACTAGACGAACATGAGCGATCTACGGGTTCAGGCGGTTTTGTGTAGATTGAGTTTTGATTTGCTCTCTGGGGATTTAGGGTTACAAAGTTTGATAATCATAGTATAATAAGACGCTACCTCCCGATGAACAGGTACTTCCCGCATCATCCCTGACCGAACTCTCGGTTCTCCATAATTCAGAGCCAGGGGTTTACGCTTCTAAATTAATCGACAGGCATGATTGGAGAAGACCGCTTCGATCTTCGTTCAAATGCATCAGAAGCGAAAGTACGTCCACCCAATGGAAAGCATCTCCTCTACGTATCCGTACATGAACCTCACGGCGACCCGAATGCAACTCCAACTTTCGAAAAGCCGCAATCCAACGCCAAGAGAGCCGCGCCGTAGTCGGTGCATACTGCGTATGCTGGCTGCGGTATCTTGCGGAATCTCAGCAAGCAGCCTGCCTGCACTGCGGGCATGGCAATGCAAAGTACAAATAAATATATGCACTCGAGTGGAAACATCTTTTTCACGCGTGAGAAATCGGGTGGGGGAATCATTCGCTTGCCATTTTTGCAAGAAATGACCGCCATGCGGCCCATGGAAGCGCCCCCCCCCCCCCCCCCCCCCCCCCGTCGGCACATCCTTTGACTTTGAGTTTGCCGAAGTCTTCGAAAATGAACAACGACGACGCCAAGGCCTGACAGCTTTGAGCTAAGAGAGAAGGTAGTGGAGTGTCTTGTTTTTTGCCTTCGCCCCAAGGTGATCTTAATGGCGTGATGTTAATGGGATTTGATTAGTCGTATTGGTTCGTTCGGACGGAAGCCTCGACTTATTCTTAGTCTGTGCCGAACAGCGTTTTTGTTCTTCCAGTCTTTCTCCTGGAGGCTCGTCTTTTCCAACGTCGAGACTGACCTCCCTTCTCGACCAACGACAACCGTCGTTGAACGATGCTGGCAAACGTACCGTCGTACCCCCACTTTCCATGGACACTTGAATCCTTGCTTGCTTCTCGAGGGGCTGACCATGGAATCCCATCATCAGATGGCCTCTTCCTTGTAGTACGCACCCCAAATAGCGTGTTCGTACCTGTACACAGTACAATGAGCCTGAACGACCCCCTGGTCACAGCTCTATGGGGACACAAGACCTGAATATCTTGTGTTACCCCAAGGAACTCGGTCTTTCTCAGCAAAACGGACGAATGCGAGGAAGAATAACCAAGAGCCACAAGAAGGAGGAACGAAGAAAAAGGTCAGGCTCCCTTGGCTCATCCGCCTGTCGCCCGCTACAGGCATCTTGTTCATGCCCCCCCATTTCTGCAGACTGCCCCTCCTCTACTAAGCATCCCACCCAGCCCTGCTGCTGTACCCTGTACATGTACAACGATATTGGTCCTTTCCTTTCGCATTTCTTCCAAGTTGGGCGAAGCCTCGATTCAGGATTCTTCGGTGATCCCATATGTGCAACCTGTCTGTGGGCTACCTTAGACTAGGAAGACTTCATCCCCTGTCCCGCCACCTTCCTCTGCTGAAGAACTTCTTGCTAAACCCTCCTCCTTCCTTCGGCAACCATCGGGGCTTCCTTGTGTCCATACAGCCAGCACATCTGTCTTATTTTTGTTCCTTCCTGTGTTGAGCTGACAGTAATCCCATCTGCGTTGAAGCGGCACAAACGCAATCCAACGCCTCGTTTTCCTCTTGGGTCTGTCTTGGTCGTACGGGGGACACATTTCACAGCCCGCCTCGGTATTCCTCGAGTTGAAGGAGGACGTTTTTCTCACACAACCTACCTGAACATAATCGTACCACCTGAACCACGAGCCGCGTCCAATCGGATCAACCAGGCCCCCAACGGAAGAATTCTAGAAGTGTTGGTGTCTTCTAGAGTTGCTCGACTGCCTTCTTATGTTTAATGTTATAATAAACCCTCCTTGAGAGACTACCGGATTCTCTACCTAATCAGTAAGCCACGACATCATTTCGAAACTCTATAATTCCCTAATCACTATTCAAACATTAGACGACACATATTCTTAATCCCTTTTTCTTTTCACAATGGAATTCTCCAATGACGGTAGTTCCATGTTTCACCGGTTCCAGGCCGCCTTCGTCCACGACGGGCAGGGACAGCTGCTGTACTGCACCGGGCCGCAGAAAGGCTACGTGCAGCAGCAATGGGAATCGTCCATCAGCCACAAACTCCCCAGCCAAAAGCTTCAGACGGCAACAGGAAAAAACACAACGGCACCGAGCAAAATCGTGTCCGCAAACCTCGACGGGCCGTTCTCGGGCTCCAAACTCTATGAGATGCAGCGGAGCGGTTCCAACACGACGGCGGGCTTCATCATCGACGCCGCTGCTACGTCTCAGCAAGACACGTCCAGCGCACAGTTTGATGACTTTTTCGTCCAACTGCTCCTAGACCAAGCCGACTTTGCCATCAGCGACGATGAGCGGATGAAGTGTGGCACCTCTACGGCCTTCCCTACGGACGCCACATCCGAGATCGTCAGCCTTTTTGATAGCTTTCTCAGATATCAGGGCAAAGACGACCAGTGGGAAGCGAGCGGCAGGGTTTATTTCACGGAGCGTGTTCGGCACTTCACCTCGCAGCAGGCCAGAATCGAGCTCTGTCTTCCTGCATTCCCGTGTAAATCTTCAAATACCAACAAGGTCCTCGGCAAAGCCCCTGACCGCGGAGAGCAACTCGCTCTCGAGCGACTTCACGAATTTGTAGAGGCTATCGAGAGAGTGTATGAGCCCGGTGCCAAGATGTGGATTATCAGCGACGGTCACGTCTTTAGTGATTGCAGTAAGTCCAACAAAAGAAGAAAAGGGGGAGAAAAAGCAATGTTCATGGCTTATAGAACTGACAAACCACTTAGTCGGAGTTGACGATGAAGATGTCGATGTGTACGGCGAGCAGTTGAAGGAGATGAACCGCGCAGTCGGCGTCAGCAGAGGCAATACTGATAGAATCGGCTTCAAGTCGCTCGTCGACCTGTTTGAACTCAACGAGTCAAAGTCTCAGCACAAGCTCTCGTCGCTGTCGAAGGATCTCAACATCCCGGACATAGAGCACCACGTTGAGACGAAGCTGACGCTAGAGGCTGAGCTCTGCAGACGGATCCTCATGGCGGGCTGCCAGCCCCAGGAGTCTGCGGTGCGGGCCAAGATCAAGTCCCAGAACCCGGCCATTCTGGCTTTGTATCGCGGGTTCTCGAGGTTCATGCTGGAGGACCTCGAGCTTCACCCTTTTACTCTGGGCATGACACGAAGTCGGAGGAAGAAGTTGTCGCCCAAGGTGGCGTTTGAGATGATCATGGTAAGCAAGACGTGCAGCACCAATCACATTACGTTGTGATTCCCCTTTTGTCTCAGATTGCTAACTTAATGAACAGAGAAACCAAGCATACTCTAATCTAGTCGAGTTGCTTCTTCCTAACCATGTCCGTCTCTCTATTCACGCGTATGTTCCGTCTAAAACCAAACCCTTTCGGCCAATATGCTTGAGTCTAATATGTCTCGATTTTATAGCCACAACAACGCCGGCCCCAAATTCGGGATTCAACTCTTCGACCCCACCGTCGTCCGCGCCGTCGAAGGCCTCTCGCCGGATGGTACGCCAATGACCTCCCGTGACCTGCTTCACATCCCCACGCCATGGCACAACTGCGTCGTCGAGGTGGAGGGCAGCCCCTACCTCCTCGTTACCAAGGCCAGTGTCCCGCGCCAAGCGGTGAGCCTAGGCGCTGTGACCGGTGAGATCTCCACCAAGAATGCGCCCTGCTTCGTCCTCCGGCCGAAGAAAGGCAACCCTGCTGCTGCTTCCAAGAGGAGTAGCGAGGAGAAGAAGGAGGAGGAGGATGAACAGGAGGTCGCCGTGGCGCCTGTTGCCCAAAGACCTATCGTAGCCCCTGCACCAGTCCCAACTCAGAGGCCTAGGGCTGCTGCGAAGGGCAAGGGGCGATTTGACTGGGTTCGGAGGCTGGCTGCATTCCCAGTTATCGGCTGGCTTGGTATGATTTTCTATCACCGCTTTGTGGAGACGTTTGTTTGAAAATGGGGTATGAATGAAGATAATGGAGTACAACACAAAGCGTGTGAATCGGAGTTGGACAAATGGGAAACGGGGGTGTTAGTTAAATCAGGCGTTTTGTTTTTCTTGATAGAAAATGTCTAATCTTCAATCAATCATACTTCAAGCAATACTTGCTCATGTTTATGTACCTATTCCCTGTTGCTGGATCTAGTTCTATGTTGTCAAAGTCACTGTACTTTGTCGAATATTCCCAGGGTCTTGAGCAAATTACCCAATGCGGTAATGTTCTCAAACGAGCGCGCCAAGAAGTCTCCAGCGCATCGCTTTGCGAAGAAACACAGGACCCCTACCACTTACAGATCTGGGCTGAAGAAACATGTCATCTTAGGGATTCAGCGGGTTGGTTTACCAAACCCGTCAGTGAGCATATTATGAAGGAACAATTTGCCAATCAGATCGTCGCACAGCATCATGGTCCTACCCCAGCCCACTGATGACGGGGCGCGCATTTTGGGCAACTACCCACACCCATCTGCGGCTGCTGTTCCCGGAAACATTTAGATGAAGTGTTGTGGATGATTTATCCGGAAGGTGAGGTCAATGACCCCTCTTCCCTGTGCCACGGAAAGGCATGAACCTTCCTCTGGAAAACGAGGACCTCCCAAAACGTGTCGTGATATAAGCTTGCTCTTCCCCAGTGAAACCGTCATTGTGTAGCTTGAAGATAAACATTGTAACTTCCCTACGTCGCTGTTGACTCGGCGGGTACATTTTATCACTTTCCTTCGCTAGAATGATTTTCTCCCATGTTCCTACACGGCCCTCCATCTCCCTGATTGGCCTCCTGCTGGTCTATCTCGTTACGATGGCCGCAGCACAAAATGAAACTCAAACCTCTACCAAGGTTCGGGAGTGTAAGTGGTCCCCTTTGCACTACGTTCCGGATTCTGAATCCTCAGTGTACTACTACGCATGGCCTTCGTACTGACAAAAGTCGCAAAAGGCATTCCTCGTCCCTCGACAACAAGCACAACATCATCATCTCCTACATCCACGTCAAAAGCCCTACCGAGAAATTTTGGCATGATCGTCAACCGACCCTTTGAGATGCTCGACGTCTTTGGACCTCTCGATGCCCTAGGATTGCTGGCCAAGAACCACCAAATGAATCTGTATCTCATCTCCGAGACAATGGATCCCGTCACCATCGAGCCCGTTTCCGCTGCCATGAATGCCAAAAACTCGAGTTTCGTAAGTGACAATTTGCCTATCCATCCCCCCTCCCGACCCCTTTTCCGACGGAGCAACAGCTTCCGCGCGGCGTTTATACCCAAATTGCTCAATGCTGACGTGGACACCTACGCTTAACGTACAGTTCCCCAAAATCCTCCCAACACACACATACGCAACAGCACCAAAGGACATTGAAGTCCTCATGGTCCCAGGCGGCCTCTGGACGCGCTCACCCAACCTCAACGCCACAATCTCCTACATCAAGACGACCTACCCGAACTTGCGCTATCTCATCTCCATCTGCACCGGCGCCTCCGTCGTAGCCCGCGCCGGCGTTCTTGATGGGCGCCGCGCGACGACGAACAAGGCTTCGTGGGCGAGCACCGTCGTACACGGGCCCCGGACCGAGTGGGTGGCCAAGGCGCGGTGGGTAGTCGACGGCAACGTGTGGAGTTCGTCGGGGGTGTCTGCGGGCATCGACACGACGCTGGCTTTTATTGACGAGGTGTACGGTGCTGAGGAGGCGACGTCTATTGCGGATTTGATGGAGTATGAGAGGCATACGGACGCGAGTTGGGATCCTTTTGCTGAGAAGTTTAATGTCACAGATTCGGCATGAGGTGAATTGGGAATTGGTTTGTATGCATTCATGAGGTGCTAGAAATTTTCCAAATGAATGGCACGCAAAGAATGATGCTTGGGAAGGTTCAAGGAAATCGTAAAGAAACCCATGAGTAGACTCTGGCAATGGGATTTAAATGTAATTACCCTAAACTTCTAACGTGGACGTGGAGTCCAGCTAATCATTAAGAAGACATAGAAACGGCTAAGGGCTGAACCGTGAACGTAGAAAAAGAACATTTCTTGACTGCAAGGCTCTTTGCAAAACACTTAGTCTCCTTTTCTCCATAATTGATTGGCGTGGTGCAATTGATACGTCTTGTAACGAAACTTTCCACAAAGGTAAGCTTTGTTAGTCTTACTCTCTACATATGCGTGGGTAAGCATGTAAAGTGCGATGCAATCTTTTGGTCATGAACATAGCGCTAGTTAATCAGTAACTCAATACAGCCAATATTCTAGGACTCTAGACTCTAAACTCTAGAGTCTCAGAACCTCTTCAATCTCGGAGTTAGTAAGCAACTTTGCTTCTCAACGTTTTCTAGTGTTAAACAAATACTCAGTGAATATCGAGTTTACTTGTTGATGAGAATTTCGCAACCAATCCCAATACAGGCTTATATGATTTTGGTTGCCATGCCTAGATTGCTCTAGTTCAAAGACACTTGTCCATTTCCCACTGAGGTGCAACGAATAGTCTCTCAAAGTGAACTATGTTTAAGAGAGGCTTACAGTATTAATTTCCTGAACTCCACATAATCTTTGCTAACTTCAATCTAGCTCTCAACTTGCTGTCTGTTTCCCACCTAAACTCAACCTTTGCACCCTAACAACAAGAAACCAGCACTAGGAATTTGGCTGGTTTATTGCAACTATGCAGAATGTCTGCAATTAAAAGGTCTGCTCACGAGAATAATTATACGTCATGCTCTGGGGATTATGACTTGTAGCACAACTCGTTAAAAAGTCAGCCGATTTTCAATAAGGTCCTTAAAACTGATGCTTGAAAACGACACCATCTGCCCACCATGCAACGTGTAATTCAGCCTGTTACGTCTACCACCAGCTCCACCCGCGCCAAATCCTCCCGTGTGCAGCTCTACATGCAAGCATTCCCTAGATCATCCCGCCATCAAACATCAAAGTAAACAAATGACAACTGCCGAACGGCCAAGTCCATTCGTGTAACGTGAGAAACACCACGTGCCAGACGCCTTATCTCTCTCCATGTCTGACCCTCAAACAGCTCGCCACATGATATCCAAACGTTCGTCCGTTGCAACATTATTCCATACTCTCAAGTCTTAGAAAACGGCTCCACATCCTGCTGTTACATTACCATGGTACGAGTAGCATTGCACAGAGCCCACCAGCAGGATCTGGAACAAACCGCCGAGAAGGGCCGTCAGGCGACCCAACAGCAGCAGAAGCAGCAGCAGAAGCAGTCTTAGTAACAGTAATCTGCAACCGCAGCAAGTCCCAGCTCTTGCACGATGTGAAGCAAGCTAGTCTCAGTTGTATTGCTATTTACGTTCCGCTCACCCCATTCTCACGTTCCACAAACGCGGTGTCTCTCTGGCCTCTTCTCAATCTCACCTGACCTTTGAACGGTACGGAGTACATCATGTATGTCCCGACAAATTTAGAAAACGGTATGAACCGTCTTCCCGTGCAGTTGCGTCCATGTAGGTCGTAGGTACGGTATTCTCCGCAGATACGACGGTAGCAAATCTTGGGAGTCTTGGACCTTTGGGAATCAGAGACATCTCCAAGGAATTAAAAAAAAAAAAAAAAGAGGGTATTCGTCCATTTCGAGCAAAAGTTACGAGAAGTGTCTGCCATGTGTGTGGGGGTCCTACAGCTACGTGCGTATCTCCAGGAGGGCGTGAGTTCCTTGATGTCTTCGAGAACGTATGGAGCCTGTGTGTTTTTAATATTCTTCCCTGTCCGGTCCCCTTGGTAATTAGTTGGCATCCGTACGGAGAGAGACAGACGGTGGAGAGCGGATTTGGACCATTAGGATCGAGCGCGCGGCACGCACGCGGGATGCAACTGTCCCCATTTGCTTTTTCCTGCAGCCCGGTGGGAAGCCGAAGACGTGCAGCGCAGAGCACAAATGGACGTGCGCAGCAGATTAATTCCCCCAAAAGAGAGAGAGTAGGAAAGGGCTGCCGGGCTGCATCATCACAGCTGCAAATGCACACCATCGGATCACCATGACGGACCCCTTCTTTCTTCACCGCCTCTGTCTTCAAGTGCGCGCACGCCGGGGGAAGGGTCCGGAGGAGTGAGGGGCCGGCAATCTTGGACCCCTCGCGGCAAGCAAGCGAGCTGGGCTTGTGGCTGGCTGCTCAACAAATGGTTTCTTGGTGAAGGCCTCATTTTCAGGTGCATTGTGGCACATTTCCGTTGCCCGTTACGGTGCAGCAGCGTCGATGTACAGATATGGAACCCGCTGATCCAGTCCAATCCTCCATCTTCTCGGCCACAAAGCTAGTGGACAATTGGACATGAACCCTTGACCGCCCCCGGCCGTCGACAGTCGCCCTGCGTGGCGCCAAAAGACTTGATAATCTTGCCAGCGTTGCGCTATCCGTCTTTCGTGATAGTTCAGGGTGGCGCGCGGCAGGGCATGCGACTTTGACAGGCTTCCCGGAGGTCCATCCTGCTAGGCGTTCCATCATCGACGTTGCATACCGTTATTTACTAGGAGAAATTAGATGATGGCGAAAGCAGCTCGGGGCGACCGGGGGAGCCAAGCCAAGTGGCAAGGTGCAAGGGGAACACGAGGGGTGAAGAGCTGCCGCCACGATGCGACCACGAGACATGCGGCAAGCAAGGTGGTGGCAGTTGCAGGGCGGCGGGGGTCAGGGATGAACATCTCCCGGGACGTTTCATTGCGTCGACGGCGCGCATGGCGAAAGGATGTAGGGTTGTGGTGTATTTGTAGTAGTGTAGTGAGACCAACGGCGGAAGCACGAGTTGCATCTCCCCGCTGGCCGGGTCAACGGCTACGGCCGCAGACTAGTCGAGGCGATGCGATGCGATGTGATGCGGTTGCACGAAGCGAGAGAGGGGAGGGCGTCTGAGTTTCAACGTCGTTCTATCGGCGCCGGGCCCCCGGGGGGAGGCAGCAGGCTTGGGATGATGCATACTGCTAGTTCCAGGGACCCAGAGATACGGCCGCAACACTTGCAGGGCCCCTCATGTTGAAAGGAGGAGTCATTGGCCCGCGAGAAAGGTCACCCACGCCCCCCTCGCCGTTTAACCTCCATGAAGCGTCGAGACGAATAGGATATTGTCACCGCTTTGGACTTCGTACGCCTCCTCTCCTTCAAGTTCCCAGTCTGCGTCATTGATGAGGGCAAGGATGCCAGGGCGACTACATAGACCACGTTAGCGTTGCATTCGATATAGCTACTCTGCACGTTCATCGCAGATTTTGGGAAAAACTCCAGAGTGGCGATATACGGCGTGCATAGGACAGACAACATCGGGGTGAGGATAGGAGAAACACAGAGCAAGGAGAGGCCGAAATGAAGATATGCCCAAGGATGGAGACGGCGCGTGGGTGATGCGACTCTAAGACGTACAGATGACCATCGAGGACGAAAAGCTCCTTCCTGGAGTCCTTCATCGTGTTCTCGCATAGATGGTTGATGAGAAAGGCAATGTTTGCGGGCTTGCCTTCCTTGTTCACCGCCGGGATAGAGAGAGCGTGACGCCGCTGATCAGAGAAGAGCATCTCCAGGCCGCCGCTGCCCACCAGATACCATGTCAGTTATGCATTCGTACCTGAACGATATATGCAAGATGCAAATGAAATCGTCCTCGGGTCGACCCCATCAGCCTGCGTGGAAAGGTCTCAGGCCAGAGTCCGGGAGACGGGACCGGTCCAGAGGAAACACTTTGCTTGAGCCACAGGATGGAATACAAGAGAGACGAGAGACGAGAGTAGAGAGGTGAGCGGAGAATGGAGACTCACGAGAACTCGACAACGACGGCGATCTTCTCCCCCGCATCTGCAGCTTCTGCGGCCATTTCTTTTCTTTTGTGAGGCTTGGTAATATAAATCTCTCACGATATCCAAAGTACCGGCAGCTGCGAGACGTCGGAGAATAGATGAAGAATGTGAGATGTAATGGTAATAAAGTTTGTTTGCTTGTCAGATTGAGACGCGGCACGGCACGGACAAATGTGAGAAAGATGCGATGGAAGGAGGGATGGATGGGTGGATGGCAGGTCAGGCGTCTCTGTAAGGCACGGGTGGTGGTATCTTACCTTAGGTACACGGGCTGTCACTACCTTAAGGGCCTGGAGTTTTTGGGGGGACGGAAGGCCCTGAGCACACGGGCATCACTGGATCAGGCAGTCGGGCCAGGCGCTCCGGTGGCAAGCGCAAGCCTCTGCCGAATGCCTGTGGAGCAAACGGTGCGGCGGCTCAAGCGCTGTAAGGCGGGGCAGACAGGCGCTCCCCCCGAGGGATGCCCCGCCCCCACTAAGAAATTTTCAACTTCACCTCTTGATTGTGACCCGTGAGCCAATCACATCGCCGCATTTTGTCAACCCTCAGAGTCATTCCTCGACGCAGCATCTCAGGGCGACGACGAGAGAGAGAGACAATATGGCTGGCACACAGCCTTCAATAGAGTACCTGTCAACGGGAGCCAACAGGCAGACCGCCGTCGCTGACTGGAGCCCGTGTGGTCTTCTCGCCTTTGGCGCTGACTGCAACATTGCGTTGTGGGCGCCAACTGTAAGCCCTTTCCTCCAGCCCGCTACTCGATGTCCCTATGCTGACGATAGATAAATCAGTCACAAAATGCAGAGGGAATCACAACCCTTCTAAGTGGGCACAAGGAGGTTGTAAAAGCAGTCAAGTTTTTACCCCAAGTGGATGGCGAAGACCGCAAGCTCCTCGTCAGTGGCTCAGATGACCAAACACTCAAGGTCTGGGCAGTGGATCCAAAGACGAACCAAGGGGAGTGCATTCAGACGGTACACGATCACTCGGCACCCGTGAACTGTATCGCCATTCTGCTGTCCAAGGGGGCCCATAAACAGGTTCTTCTAGCTTCAGGGGCTGCCGATGCGACCATCAAGATCTGGAAGCTTGACGGCGGCCAGCTGCAGCTGCGCCAAACTATCAAAACCGCTCCCAAGTACTTTCCCCTGTGCTTGGCTCTCACAGCGCTCGACGAGGCCGAAGACGTCTTTGTTCTAGCCGCAGCGGGAACGAAAACGTTTGTGCAGATATTTGTCGCCGCTGCGGGCGAGGGGACAGTCGACTTCAAGCTCCAGGCTACTCTATCAGGCCACGAAGGCTGGTTACGGTCCCTAGAGTTCACATGGGAGAAGGCAGAGGCGAACAGTGACCTGCTCCTTGCTTCGGCAAGTCAAGACAAGTACGTCAGACTCTGGCGTTTGCACTTGGGCCAGGAGCTGCCATCACTCGCCGCAGAAGGTTCAGATCCTCTCAGTGGTGCCTATCTGCCGGGAAAGTCTCCCTCAAATAAAGCCCACCGGCTTCAGTCCGGCGGCAAAGACTTCTCCATTACCTTTGAGGCCCTTCTCCTCGGCCACGAGGACTGGATCTACAGCGCAAAGTGGTTCACGAGCCGCGAGGGCAAGCTCCAGCTGCTTTCTACATCCGCAGACAACTCCCTCGCCATGTGGGAGGCTGACAGCACCTCGGGCATCTGGGTCAGCATGGTCAGGCTAGGCGAGATCAGCAGAGAGAAGGGCGCGACGACGGCGACGGGCAGCATCGGTGGCTTCTGGACGGGTCTCTGGGCACCCGACGGCAAGTCCGTCGTCTGTCTCGGCCGGACGGGCAGCTGGCGCCGCTGGGTTTACGACGACGAGCGCGACCAGTGGAAGAACGCCATCGCCGTCAGCGGCCACACCAGGACCGTTACAGGCATCGCGTGGTCCCGCGACGGGGACTACCTCATGTCCACGAGCTCGGATCAGACAACACGCCTCCACGCCCGTTGGAAGCGCGGTGATGCCGTCACTGGTGTCCGTTCGTGGCACGAGATGTCCCGTCCCCAGATCCACGGCTACGACCTCAACTGTATTGACACTCTTGGCGCATCCCAGTTCGTCTCAGGGGCAGATGAGAAGCTCATGCGCGTCTTCAGCGAGCCGCGCGCCGTTGCCAGAATGCTCCAGACCCTCGGCGGGATCGAGAGCGGCGCGCCCGCAGAGTCCATGCCAGACGGCGCCAATATGCCCGTGCTAGGCCTCTCCAACAAGGCCATCGACGCCGTCGACGACGACCAGGAAGTCCAAGCCGATGACCAGTACGACCGCGAGGCCGTCGACCCGGCCACCGTCGTCCGCAAGTCTATGCTCGACATTGACCACCCGCCCTTTGAAGAATCCCTCTCGCGCCACACCCTCTGGCCCGAGACGGAGAAACTCTACGGCCACGGCTACGAAATCTCCTGCCTGGCCGCCAGCCACGACGGTAAGCTCGTCGCCAGCGCCTGCAAGGCGAGCTCTCTCAACCACGCCGTCATCCGCGTTTTCGAGACAGAGCGCTGGACCGAGGTCAGGCCACCACTGGCGGCGCACACCCTAACCGCCACGAGGCTGCGGTTCTCCCCCGACGACCGCTTCCTCCTGAGCGTGGGCAGAGATCGACAGTGGGCCGTGTTCGAGCGCGGGAGTGACGGGCAGCAGTACTCGCTCCTCCAGGCGAATCCCAAGGGCCACACGCGCATGATCCTTGACGCAGCGTGGGCGCCTCTGTCGACGGATGATGGTAGCAGCGGCAGCAGCAGCAGCAGCAGGGTCTTTGTGACGGCAGGACGTGACAAGAACGCCAAGTTATGGGTTGGCAAGGAGGACGCAAATGACGAGCAAGGCGTCAGCAAGACCGGTTTCACTCTGGCTTCGAGTATTGCCTTTGACGGGCCCGTCACGGCAGTCGACTACCTCGGCAGACAGGGTGCCGGTGGCGAGCTCGTCCTCGCCGTCGGTACCGAGTCTGGCAAGATATCTCTTTGCACGCTGGCCCCTGAGACTTTCCAGCCGGCCGGCACACTCCAGCTTGCGTCGAGGTAAGTTTCCCCTCTTGAATCCCCTTGATATAATTTGATCATGATAGCTGACCTCCCTCCCTGAAGCCTCTGCCTCCCGAAGCCGGTCTCGCAACTGGCTTGGCGACCATCAACGAGCGAAAGCAACACAGACGAATTAGGTATCGCCGGCGAAGATAGTTCCTTGCGGGTATACAGCTTCACAGGACTAGGCGCACCGTCCAAGTCCGACGAATGAATGAAATGAATTTTACGTTTTGAAGCACGCGTTCCTACTCCCCCATAGACACCCGAAGGCTTTGAGATCTGGGACCATGTATGAACGGGTTCTGAACTAAGAACACACGCGTCGCCGCATGTGATGTGAGTTTACAGTATGTATATGTAATATGCCTTTTTTTCGTATCCGAACCTGAACTGAATGAACTTGGTTCATATTAAAGAATTCTCCCAAAGAAACGCCTGCACCAGAAGCGGAAAAAAACACACGTTTGCGCGCAACATGCGACACGCCCTTCGAGCTCTTCATCGGGCGGTCCGCTCATGTTCGCCATTAAGATCCTCCCACAGCTGCTCGTCATCTCCTCTCCCTTTCCAATTCGTTCATTCGGCATGCATCGTTGTCATATAGCAGAAGTGCGTGCGTGCGTGCGTGCGTGCGTGGCAAGAATACAGCAGAAAAGCCATACACAGAGGGTTCTCTGCGCTCCCCCTTTTACAACTCCTTGACGAGCTCGACCGTCTGCTGAGCCAGCGCGGCCGCAGTGGTGCCCGTCTTCTCGGCCATCAGCACGCTCTCGACGGCGGCCTTTGTGAACTCGACGGCGTCCATCACGGTGTCGACGACGGCGTCGATCGGGTCGCCGTGCATGTAGAACCAGGCGCGGCTCATGAGGAAGGCGATGTGCTGGGGCAGGTAGAGGACGGTGGCGATGATGGTCAAGCTGCTGAGGAGGAAGAGGACGGTGTCTGCGGGAGAGGAGGATTAGCTGGGGGAATTCTCGTGCGATCTTTGGATATGGTGGATCTTGATAACTAGAGGAAAAGGGGTGTGGGCGGCGGCTTGTTGCGGATGTATACGGAGAGGAGGGCGCAAAAGGGCATGGTAGATAACGTACAAAAGATGAACTTTTCCAGGGGCGTGAAGATGTATACGCTGAAGGTGACCTCGATCTGGTACTGCTTCAGGTGCAGCCACTTGCTGAAGGACTGGAGGGCCGACATCTTTTGATTTCTTTGTAGGTTCTCGGAGGAGTTTGTCTGGTCTTAAGGGGGAGAAGGGCTTCGACCGCTCGGTTCTCGCGGTTTTCGACGGAGGTTGAGAGTTCGCGGTGGCGGCGACCACGGGGGGGGGGGGAGAAAAAGGAGGTGGACGATGGTTTCTTCTCGAACGAACGTATCGCGGTTGAAAAGTAGAAAGTTTACTTTGCCAATTCGTTCATAGACTGTCGTGTTGACGTTCGGTCGTATGGAAACACCGAGCAACCTCAGTGGAAATCGTCTTTGCGGCGAGGAAGGGAGTTCGAAGGAAGTATGCGGGTTGGGAAAAGGCGAACTCTAAGGTATCGTCCGAGGACGGGGTTTGCGTGGGACGGGAGAGGGAATCTTATCAGTGAAATTGGTGGCCCGCCCACGCGACAAAACAACCACCAGAATGACTGACTGAGCAAGCAAAAGGCACCACCGCCAAAAAGCTGTACCCGACAGATCCGCAGGGGAGAAGCACTGACAGGGAAAGGATAGAAGAGAGGTTCCACACTGCCAGCAAAGTAAAAGTGGAGAGTCAATTTACAGGTCGCCAGTCAGTAAAGACTGGGTAACCTCAACCTCTGATTGGTCGCCTCACTTCCCAAAACCTCCGAATTAGCAGTTCAGCACAATGGAAGTTCGTTCTCAACACCTCATCGTCATGCACCTCCCGTCCGGCCCCCAGCCGTCCGCCGGCTGCTGGCACTCCACATCCGAACCGGTCCCATACTGAACGACACGGCCCACCACGCGCGCCGTGAAGTACGATCCTCGAAACCTCACCAGCAAGCCTCACCTCACCTCACATCACACCAAGCACCAACGCCACCCATCTCCAACAATCCGCAAACCCACGGACAATGGCCCGGCGCGCGCGATGCCTCTTCCTCTACCCCTTCTAACCCGTCTACCCCTCCTGGCGAGCGCATCCAACGCCAATGCCTTCATGCGCCGAGGCCCTACGCCTACGGCGGCGAGGCCGGCATCGCTGCTGCTGCTGCCGCTGCCACTGCCCCTCGTCGCCCTCTTCAGCACATCCCCCTCCGCATCGCTAAAGGGGCACCAGATGCCACCTCGGCCCAAACCCCCTCCAGACTCCGATATTGAGGAATCCTACCTCAAAGGCAGCGGGCCGGGTGGTCAGAAGATTGTACGTTGCTATGAAGTTCAACCCGCCGACACCTTACCTGATGCTCGTCCTTCCATTTCTGCCAACCAATGCAATGCAATGCGGCGGGACTCGAGCTTGATGCAAAGACCGCATGACTGACTAGTAGCTTTCCCGTCATGTTCTTCGTTGCTAACCACCCCACCTTTCCAACAGAACAAGACGAGCTCGGCCGTGCAGCTCAAACACATACCCACTGGCATTGTCGTCAAGTCCCAAGCAACCCGATCCCGGTCCCAGAACCGCAAGATTGCCCGCGAAATCTTGGCCGAGAAGATTGACAACTTGCAGAATGGCGACCAGAGTCGTGCCGCCATTGTCGGCGATGTGAAGCGCAAAAAGGCCGCCAGTGCATCCAAGAAGAGCAAGAGAAAATACCGTCAGCTCGAGGAAGAAAAAGAAAATGATGAGGCGAGCGAAGCTGGAGCTAGTGAAGAAGCCGTTCAAGACGAGACGAACCGCGACCCAAGCTCTGAGGATGTAAATACCTCTTCTACAGCTGATCCTAGTTCCACTGCACAAAGTAAAATTCCGCAGCGTTGAGCGTCACTTGGTCGCAAAGGGCCACACTGTATCAATAGATCGGTCCATTTCTACTCCTGGCTAAAGCATTCTCGTGAAATTATAACATCACTAAAAAAGCGAGTGTGCGAAACTCGGGAACAGTAAGCAAAGTGTATTGTATGATCGACCTCAGTTGCAGACGTATCCGCCCCTATACGCGCCCACGCGCACCCTGCTACAAAACAAGGACCAAATCTTTCTGGAGAAGGGTCGACCCAAACTTCTTGACCATGTCAACAACTTTTCGCCAATATAAGACCTGACTGCGGTATATGCAACGCCGTGGAGACCTTGCACCGGTCGTTGCCTCTTTGGAATCGATGTGTTTTCGGAAGGGCGAGAATGTGGTTCGGGAAGTAAGACGCTACATCATCATCAGCATTTGCCGCATGTTACGGTTTCGCTCCACCATCAACTTACCTTAGAAGCACTTGCGGTGGACAATGGAGGGACCGCTCTCGTCGTACTCCTGCTTGGAGATCCACATCTGCTGGAAGGTAGACAGGGAAGCCAAGATGGAACCACCGATCCAGACGGAGTACTTGCGCTCGGGGGGAGCGATAATCTTGACCTTCATGGAAGAAGGAGCAAGAGAAGTGATCTCCTTCTGCATACGGTCGGAGAGACCGGGGTACATGGTGGTACCACCAGACTGTAGAGTTGTTAGTTGCTGGCGCTAGATTCTGTGATCGCTGTGGAAAACATACCATGACAATGTTGCCGTACAGGTCCTTACGGACATCGACATCGGACTTCATGATAGAGTTGAAGACGGTGACGTGGATACCGCCAGACTCAAGACCAAGGACGGAAGGAGCGAACAGAGCCTCAGGAGCACGGAAACGCTCGTTGCCGATGGTGATGACCTGACCGTCGGGAAGCTCGTAGGACTTCTCCAAGCTGGAGGACTGGGAAGCGGTCTGGAGCTCCTGCTCGAAGTCGAGGGCGACGTAGCAGAGCTTCTCCTTGATGTCACGAACGATTTCACGCTCGGCAGTGGTGGAGAAGGAGTAACCGCGCTCAGCGAGAATCTTCATGAGGTAGTCGGTCAAGTCACGACCGGCCATGTCGACACGGGCAATGGCCTGGGGAAGAGCGAAACCCTCGTAAATAGGGACAACGTGGGTGACACCGTCACCGGAGTCGAGGACGATACCGGTGGTACGACCGGAGGCGTACAGAGACAGGACGGCCTGGATAGAGACGTAGAACGCGGGGGCGTTGAAGGTCTCGAAGACGATCTGGGTCATCTTCTCTCTGTTGGACTTGGGGTTGATGGGGGCCTCAGTCAAGAGGACGGGGTGCTCCTCGGGGGCGACACGGAGCTCGTTGTAGAAGGTGTGATGCCAAATCTTCTCCATGTCATCCCAGTTGGTGACGACACCGTGCTCGATGGGGTAGCGGAGCGTCAGGATACCACGCTTCGACTGTGCCTCATCACCGACGTAGGAGTCCTTCTGGCCCATACCAATCATGATACTGTGCACGTGTTAGGTCGCGGGCGCGGGAAGCGGCATTGCCGCAGCGAGAGATGGACCTACCCATGGTGACGGGGGCGACCGACAATGGAGGCTAAGGGACAGTCAGTATCAACAATCTCGAGTATGGATGGCCGAATCGGTATACCCCTGACGGAGAAGATTGCGGTCTGCGGATGAGGGGGAACTTACGGAAGACAGCTCTGGGCGCATCGTCACCGGCGAAACCGGCCTTGCACATACCCGAACTGGAATCAAGTCAGAACCGAATTCATTGTAGGATATGTTGTATCGATGGATCATGTGCCAATGGGTTATCGGGAGGGCTGACGATTGGCCAGATCCCTTCGAGGGCCCAGGAGGCGGAATGGTCGGTGAGACGGCGGGGAAGCTTACCCATTGTCGATAACGAGGGCGGCAACCTCCTCTGTACATATATACGTTAGCAAGTGAGGCAGAACAAAGACGGATGTTGATAGAGTCGAGCATCGCGACTCGGATGAGGCCAGGGGAGGTGAGGCGGCGTCGGAGTCGTGGAGGGAGTGAACTGCTGGCAGAGATGGAGATGGCGTTACGTACCTTCCATTTTGAATTAGGTTGTGGGTGAGGACTGGGAAAATAGAAGAAATGTAGAATCAAACGAAGACAGCTCACTCGATTCCGGAATCGTAGGAGCGAGATGGAACTGGCAGAAGTCCTGAGCGGATGGCAAAGAACTTGGGAGAGGGCGTCGATGGGTGGTGAGGTCGAAAGTGGGAAAGGTTACGGGAAGATGAGAGGTAGTCGATTTTGGGTGGAGGAGGGGGGAAGAAGGAGAAGAGTGGGAATGGCAGGCACAGTGTGCGGTGAGCGCTCTTTGCCTCCTCGGCGTTTCGTTGGCTGCTGCGATTTGTCCGGCGGGCCAGGTTTCGATGTCAGAAAGCAGCTGGAGACCTAACCCGACTTGTGGGTGAGCAAATGGACGTGAGGTGGTGAGGTGGGTGGGTGGTGGGCTGGGCAAGAGCGTGGAACAGGTGGCAGAAAGCGGCAGCGCCGCCCCGGGGGATTGAGTTGCCGCTTTAACAAAGGAACCGCCCATTGGGGGGGACCTGGAGCATTAGGAGCATTGGGACTTGCCCGCCAGGAGGCACTGTGACTGAGGTGGGAGGCTGCGCGTTTCTCTCGCCTCTCCCCGTCTCTTCGGGGACTGTGGCCCGTGCTTTTGCTCCTTTGCTGCTCGGGGGCTTTACCTAGGACTGGCAAAGTAGTGTGGTGGGGTACGGGAGGGAACACACTTCTCACTCACTCACTCACCCTTTTTTTGGTGATACCTACTGGGGTGCGAAGGCAAAGAGGAACCTCTTGATATTGCAGACGAGATGCGCGACCCTCCAAGTATCCGTATCGTCTTCTTTTCTCCGGCCTGGACCGCTGATTCCGGTGGCTGAAGTTGATATGGGTGCTGTACCTTCAATTCCGTTTTGATGCTGGTGGGCAATGCAAATATCCCGTCGATTTTCGGATAAGTACACTTTTACTGAATTCTCGAGGCAGGTATCGTATCCGAATGAACGTGGAACAAGATTGTTTCTCAGGCTTTTCTCGCTGTATTCAATACAGCAAACACGAATACCAACAAGAAGCCCGTCAGGCCCCGTGCCTTATCTATCCGCTTCAACCTCCAGGCAGTGATTATTGCAACAAAGAGCATTCGTCACCCTATCCGTCAGTCGCCATCTGCTCTCCAGGCAGCTTGAAACCGACGGTGAGAGGTGCTCACGTAACCTCGTCCTCCATGGCCTCGACCACGGACCAATCGAGCCAAGCCACGGGCCCAACAGTGCGCCGTTTCTCCTCCCGACTGTGACGCCTCTAATATCTTCAAGGGCATCCCCACATCCACAACCTGCACGCACGCTACGGTCTAATGAGAATACAAGGTTGACCCAGGCCAAGAGCATGGGATCATGGGAGCCAGCCTGGCCGAGATCATCTCGCGCCGGGAGGACAGCATTGCAGCAACGACAGCACCAAGTAGCGGACACAGTACCGCGAATCCATTCCATCTCTTCATGGACTGTGGAACGGGGGGCCGCTCCTCGACGCCCACGTGAGACTCTCAACAAGATTCCCGCCGCCGCCGCCTGGTTCATGCTCGATGCTCGATGGCGGCGGGCGGATTTGCGCCAGCAAACCACATGCCAGCCGTCCTATTGCTCGTCCATTCGTCTCCAAGTCGTACGTCATCTTTTTCCGTAAGCAGCAAAGACACGGGCAAAAGTGCCAAGCAGGCATAATCTATTTTGGTTCACAGAAATATTATCTGCCTTCTTCCCGTCGTCTGCATAGCGTACATAGCACGTCGGGCTCGCGGAACCAAAGGCGGCGACGAACGGGCACGGAAGCACAGCATACGGGCCAGGCAGTCTAGCAGTTACCTCAAGGCACTCCGAAGCCGACAACACCGAACGGGCCTGCCTAGCTACCACCTGCAAGGGCCGTACTCTCCTGGACAGGCTCGATGGGGTCGCGGCTCTGGTGGTTCAAATTGCGTACCCGCGTATGGACGCCTTTTGCGGGAACGAGAGCCTGGGGTCCTAGGGGGGTGATTGACATGGGGTTCTCGGATGCCAGCCTCGCATATCGCATCTCGCATACGTACTCTGGGCTGGAACCTCGTCAACGGGCTCGCTCTCGTCTTCGACATGTGCCTATGCTTGCTGTGTCCTGGAACTGTGTTTCGAGCTTTGTGTGGACAGGCCCAACAAGAAACAGCGCGGGCGACAGCTACACGCCGTGCTACGTTTCCAGTGTGGCTGAGCTGGGAGCTCCGGGTTGCCGGGCGGCGTCTCCGTTGATCGGGTCCCTTTAGCACAGATCGGATAGGAGAATACGGCGGAAGCTGTAACCTGTCATCTACGGTGGGGACGCTATGCCTGATTGCTGCATTCTGTCAAGCGAGGCATGCAATATGGAAATGAACGACCAGGAAGGCTTTCAGACGAAAGATGCAAGGCTGAGGCCTGGGAATCTCAGCAGCGATGGATACAGCAAATTGTGAGTTGCCAGGCCTCGTGTGCTTCAGTGACTTCATCGCTGGATGCTGCTCAGCTCAGCGTCGCAATATCGTAGCTTGGGTGCTTGGGTACCTCAAGGAAGCTCTGTCCATGGCTACCTCGAGTTAAAGCGGCAATGAGGGGCAACTCATTCCATGGTGGGGCAGCTGGAACTTTTTTTTTGGTTCACGTCTTTTTACCAGCCACCTTACTACAGTATCGTGTCCTTGATCAATCCCTCGACAAGTCCAAGACTTCCGGACCCAGAGTCCGGGAGGGTATCCAATGTTTGACTGGCAGGTGAATTGCCAACTCAGCCTATTGATGATCCCATCATTGGGCTGTAAGAGATTCGCTGGCCATAAGTCTGTCTGCCCAAGTTTCAAAGACTCGAGCTGCATAAACGACGCATTGAGCCGGCCTTGATCAGGGCTCCTCACGTGAGATCTACGCTAGTCCGCTTTCGCTCATTGGCAAGCTTCTTGAAGGTTCCAGAAAAGGGTAGCGAATCAGAAGCAGCCAGTCAGAGCGGGAAGTGGCTCTTGGTGATGGAGAACTTTTTGATGTTGATGAGAGTTCAAGTGAGAGTGAGTGACAGACTGGAAGTTGATAGCAAACAAACTCTACACATCAACACAATACACATACTGCAAGTCCCTCATTCAAGCTTGCAACCAGTCTAAGTGAACCGTCAAAAGGTTTCATTTTTCCAAGAGGCTCCTTCAAACTACCACACCTCAAAAACTCACCCCAAAATAATCCATCATGGGTGACAAGCATCTCAACGAGCTCCTCAAATGGAGCATCGAAAACCAAGAAGCCAGCGAGAACGGCGCCTCAGCACCCGCCGCCGACGCCACAGCCGCAAGAGCCCCCGCCAGCACCCTCAACCCGGAAGCCATCGCCGCCCTCTTCGGCAACGGCCCCAGCGACGCCGAGCTCATGAAGCTCTCCATGGAGGCAATCACCTCCCCGGACCCGGAAATCACCCTCGACAACAAGCTCATCGCCTTTGACAACTTTGAGCAGCTCATCGAGAACCTCGACAACGCGAACAACATCGCCAACCTCGGCCTCTGGACCCCGCTGCTCTCCTGCCTCGAGCACGAGGCCCACGAGCTGCGCCGCATGGCCGCCTGGTGCGTCGGCACCGCCGTCCAGAACAACCTGCCCAGCCAGGAGCGCCTGCTCGCCGTGGGCGGCATCCCGCCCCTCGTGGCGCTCGCGACCAAGGACGGCGAGGAGGAGGCCGTCAGGAGGAAGGCTGTGTATGCGCTCAGCTCCGCCGTACGGAACTACCAGCCCGGCGCGGACGTTCTTACCGATGAGCTGCAGAAGAAGGGCCTGCGTAACGGCAAGGTGGATGCTGAGAACATGGATGACATTGATGACATTATGAATGCGCTCAAGGCCAAGATTACGGCATAGAGAGAAAAAGAATTGCGAGAAAAGGATGGGCTTTGGGGAGGATTTGGTATGGTTAACTTGCATGGACGGCGTTTCGGCGGGTGGTTCGGCATGAGGGTTCTTTTGACGTACGGGGCGACCAAAAGAGACATGGGATTATGGTATTAGACGATTACTACCGCATAAGACGAACCGAGAATTTGATCGCACAATTTTGGCACAAAGTAACACCTCGAGAGTGACCGTATCTGTTGGTACATTCATATACAGGCTTTCTAAATGTGTTGATATCGTACAAAACGGGATACCCCTTCCCAACAATGTCCCCCCTTTTTAATCCTTGAACTTTCCGTAGAAAGGAAGACCAAGAGCCTGCATCAGAAGCCTGGCCTGGCGGTTTGAAGTGGCGCTCGTGTGGATGAAAATATGGCACCCTGGAAGGAGCTACAGAGACTCGTCAGCATTACTGTCACAAGATATAGGCAGACGAAATATCTCACCTTGGCAGGGTACATGTCGTAGTTGATCTGGAGCTCGGGGAACCAGACCAGGTCATCGGGTCTCAGACCGATACCAATACCACCGTTTCCGTCACCAGTGGTTGCGTTGACACCGGGCCAGTCCTTGATCTTGGGCAGGACGAGGTTGATCAACTTGTCAATGAACTCGTACGCCTGGGGACCGTGCATGGTCGTCTTGACACCAGTCTTGTCGCCCTCACGAATCTTCCACTGAATAACGTTGTTCTTGGTCTTGGTGACCTCGGGGACGTTGCCGCTGATGGATTGGATGACCGAGCGGGCGACCTGGAGCTGTCCCGGCAGCTTGGCGGCCGAGGGGATGAAGGTGTGCAGCGATACGGCCAAGACTTTGGGGACGGACCGGCAGTCGATGTTCTTCTCCAGCAGGTCGAGCTTGCTACCACCTCTGGGTCCGCGGAGGGGACGGTTCTTGTTGTATGGCGAAGAGTCGTCCCATGCCCTTAAACGCTCTCGTACCGGGGGGTCTGGTGTACCCGGGGGCTTGTGGAGGTAGGTCATCGTGAGGAGATCGGCGGCGATAGTCGTATCGTACGTCTGGCGCAGTCGAGGGAGGTTGAAGGGTCCAGGAACGAAGTCGCGGGCCGTAGGATCGGTGGAGGGCGGTGATTGAATAGGGTGAAGAGGACCTCTGTCGTACTTAGGGGGATGGTACTGGTATCTGCCGCCTCGTCTATTAGCCTTCTGCTTCACGCAGTAGTTGAGTATTTCAGTGCGCACCTGTTTCCGGGAAGCTGCTGCGGTCTGTCAGACAAGCGCTTCGCCGTGTTGAAAGCTTGAATGGCAGCATCGTCAGGGCCAGGCGCAGCCAGGGACGAGGTCTCGAGGTCGGGGAACTGAGCCTCTGCGGCACCGGTAGATTCGCATCGCCGGGCAACGAGAGGTGTCAATTGCCACGGCGAGCGCTGCCTGCAGACAAACCGAGTTAATCGGGAGCTTTCCCGTAGAGTGGCCATGGCTAGTCGTTCAACTGTGACGCAACCTAACACGTCTGTAAGGGTAAGTCGCGATGCTCGAAATTTCAATCTCGAAATGCTCAAGTCGGCCCGTGCCACCTGTGGCTAGTGCGGTTTTTTTTAATATTAAAGTGGGCCTCAATGTTCAGCTCCGGGGATTGCTGTGGCTTGACTCTTCTGCGGTTGCAAGCCTGGATCTCCAGGCGGCAGAACACGGAGTGACATCCTCATGTCACTCGGGGGCCGTCGGAGCGAACCTCCATGGAACGTGACCAGAAGCCTCCGGACTTTCGGGCCTTCAAGGTCAGTTCGTGGTCGTTGCACTGTCGTCATCAGGAACCAGGCCGCCGTCCGCGGGACACCCTCCATCGAGCTTCGGACTACAGTGAGGCACCGACGATCCATTCTACTAGAGCGGGTAAATCGTGCACGCAGCTCGATTACGTAGCAGTCATTCGGGCCCTCAGCTGAATGTCAGTCACCAGCTCAATGGGTCAGCAAGCGCGCGTTCGGTTGCAGTAGCTGGAGCTTTGCTTTCCGCTATGCTGGGCTGACAGGGTGGGGAGACACACTTGAGCAGCACTCTCGGACACGATCAGGCAAAGATGGGATGGACAGATGCGCAACGATGGACATTGTGTGCCTCTTGCCCTCTTCGATGTGCGGCGGCGGCGCGCGCTAACATGCAGGTTGCCTGATTGTACCCAAGATGGACGCGAAAGCGAACGTGTACAGGTTACGCGAGCGCTTTTTATCGGATTGGAGGTTAGTTTCAGTGACAGATCAATGTCCAACACACACAAGGCGGGGGCTTGGAAGTAGCAGATGGTGCGACAGAGTTTCCATTCATTGTCAAGAGACTTTGATCTTTGCGGGCGTTGGGCGTTGCTATGGGGTGCGGGAGTGTGTGTAAGCGCATTGCTTCTGGTGCTAAGTTAGAGTTGAGCCTCTAGGGTGGCTCAGTGAAAGACACTCGTATTGTTTTCGTTCTTCTAGCTGTTCTTCGTCTGTTCTTGGCGAAGCCTGTTCTGTGTAAAAGGAAACCACGGAGCAGAAGGCTTCTGAAACCACGGAGCATGGGCCATAGAGCCATGATATCGGATCTACTGCGCACGTAGGTCTGGAAGTAAGGGACGCTCTAGGATGTGTCCCATAGGGTATCATTCGGGTCCTAATAAACCACCGCGAAACAAGAGGCGAGACTTGACGAGTCACGTCCAGCCTAAAATGTTCTTGTGCAGGCCATGTCAAGACTTCCACTCAACATTTCCCGTTTTGACTAGGGGATCGAATGACCTGCAATTGATGCGATGGGCGACTTGCCACTTTCATCTTGTTAAATGGGCAGCCTAGTCAATTTCGGATGGTCCTCCCACGACGGACAGGCCCTTACATATGTCACCTCGCGTGGACATTGGATGTTGGGGCAGGCTACTTTTACTCATATTCGGAGCCTGGTCGGTCATATGTAAGAATTGTGGCAGCCAAGCTCAAGAACATTCTGGCTTTCCCCTTGCTATTACACTACCTGCTATGGTCCCATCTCACCACGTAATACGCACCTTCGGCTACCAACCGAAAAAGCCTATACCACAAAAGTCAGCTAGAAGAAGGACAGGTCAGCTCGGGGTCACGGTCATCTTGGATACGTCGTGTCCGTATGTCTGAGGTAACAGTAACAGCAAGCAAGCAAACCTGAAAGTCCGCCTTGCCGCCAACCACCACCGACCTGGCGCTGCCAGACCCCCGAGTCAACTGACGGCAAGTCCGCAAAGGACGCCGAGTGTCCCCAGCAGGAAGTTGAGGTGGAAATCTCTCAGGGGCCGCAAGTACCATCCCACCCAAGCTTTGCCGCGCCGGTACGAAAACACGCCCTTCCATGGTCCGTCCACTTGGTGACTCTCCACACACCAATTCAACGTGGGCACCCTGCCAAAGCTGCTGCTCACATTGGACCCCGAATTTTCTGAGCCAAATCCACGAACCACCACCATCTGACCCTTGTTGGCGCCTGGAGCCAGTCGAAGGTCCTTCGCTACCTTTATTGCTTCAGCAGTCCCCCGTGTGTTCAACCATAGGACCTCGTCTTCCCACTTCTGCTTCTTCTTTCCTTCACGCCGAAGCAACAAAACAAGCAGCATATCTCTTTGGCTTCAGAGAATCGAGCTTGGCTACTTGGTGGACAACAAATACTTGATCAATACCCACACCGTACCGTCGCAGGCTACCAGAACAGCGAAATCCTATCACTCTGCTGCTACATCGGAAAGCCCAGAGTCCAGACCTGATCATCCCAGCGGCCCAGCCCCGTCTTTTGCGACTGCGAAAATCTGCCCCGCCGACACGCGCCAGAACCCCTCCATACCTATCCTCGCACTCGGTGCATTCTTCATCTTCGCTCAGCTTTGCTCCCCACCTCACCCACTCCCGTATTGCTGGCCGATGAGGATGCGACTTTCAACCTGGCCATGATTCTGGACCGCTGAGACGACTGCTTCTCTCGAGTGGCCAAGCCCCTTTGGCACCAAATCGCGAACCTAGCTACTCCAGCTACTGGCAACATACAGGATCTGCAACCATGAAGGGCAAAAAGTTTCTTAGCCTGCGGGACAGGAATGGCACCCATCGCAGGAGCAAATCCTCAGAACCAGGACAAAAGGTGAGCTTCATGTTCCAGGAACTGGAGATGGTCCTTTTCAGAGCCCGTTTCCATGGGGACAGCCACACTAATCCCACATCTCCAAACCTAGAATCGACCACTTTCGTCCGAAGCGTTTAGATCGCTTTTCAAGAGCGATCGAGCACCGACAGACGAGGAAACAAAGGAGAAGGAGATGGCCAAGGTACACCAAGCGCTGGACTGCAACATTGCACAAGTCTAACAACACCATAGATCGAAGACATTACACACCTTCTTGCCGAGAGAAACATCACCGACGTTTCTGCTGAACACATTCGAGACTCCCTGAACAGCAAATTCGCAGACGGCGATGTCGACAAAACCGTCGAGTTCATTCAGCTGCAATGCAAAGCAATGGCCGGCAAGGTTACACACTACAACCCCCAAATCGAGATGGTTGGCGCAGAGAACAGGGGCAACGTCACATGCTACCTTGACTCTCTGTTGTTCGCCATGTTTGCGAAGCTGGACGCCTTCGAATGCATGCTGAAGAACGACTTTACGGACGAACCAAGGCGCAAACTGGTCACGCTGCTGCGCTTGTGGGTGAACATGTTGAGGAGCGGAAAAATGATTCACGCGGATATGGTGAGTTGTGGCCCGTCCTGTAATACTCAACCTATGCTAATCGTCACAGACCAAACTGATCCAGGATGCGCTGGCCGAGTGCGGCTGGAGTGACGCCAAGCTCCTTGAGCAGCAAGATACTTCCGAAGCCTTCGCGTTTGTCACCGAAACGCTCCAATTGCCCCTATTACAACTACAAGTCGACCTCTTTCACCAAGGCAAGAACGACAAGGACGACCACAAGCTGGTCTATGAGAGACTTCTGAATCTAGCGGTGCCACCCGACTCCGAAGGCAAGGGGATCAGACTGGAAGACTGCCTGGAAGAATACTTCAACACACAAGTCGACGTACTCAGAGACAGCCACGAGGACAAGAAAGAGGCGGAGAGGATGGCCCCGAACACAGCCACGAACGGCATACGGATTGTTACTCAAGAGAATGAGCTAGAGGCGGGCGCGCAAGACACGCTGAGTGCATCTCCCGCGCAGCTTTCACCAGTTCTGGAGCGGCGGTGGACAGCCTCGCCAGCACCTAATGGCGCGCCAGAGTCTCCTAGTAGCTCGTCACGACCGACTCCAAGACACCGTTCAACTAGTGTTATACAACGTGTGGTACTGGAGGAGAAGGACAAAGACAAAGGCAAGGGGACCGAGCCGTCTACCATGCTGGAAAAGGCGCGACGGACGAGCTCTACCGTGGTGAAAGCCGTGACGATTCCAGCCTGGCAGTTCTTCAGATTGATTCCGTGGCACGCCGCCGGAAACAAGGAGCCTAAAAACGACATGGAGGTCGCTATGAACTTCAACCAACGCCCTGTTGTCGGTATCTGCCTGAAGCGGTACATGATGTCAAACTCTGGCGTTCCACAGCGCCAGAACACCTTCATCGACATACCGGACAGTCTGAGGCTTCCGCACTTCATGCTTGGCGACGAGACGCAGCTTGAAGAAGACCCCAACGGCTTCAGCATGGAGTATAAGTTAGTGCTACAGTCTGTGGTCTGTCATCGTGGCGACTCCGTCTACAGCGGACACTACATCTCATTCGCCAGAGTTGCGCCCAAACTCCTCACCGATAACAGAAGACACGACAATGACCCCCCTCCCGACTACGAGGAAGCGCAATGGGTCAAATTCGACGACTTGAATATCGAAAACAGGGTCACATATGTGGACGATATCAAGCAAGCCTTGAAAGACGAGATGCCATACCTCCTCTTCTACCAGATCGTACCGATGGTAGAGGTGGCGTCAACAGAGGAGACAGAGACCGAGCCTCCTTCTTACAACGAGTCCAAGGTCAGCGTCAACTTACCGACCACACCAAACCCGGTCAACGGCAATAACTCCGGGATGTCATCATCGCGGAGCGACTACTTTGAGAACACCTCAATATCCCCACCCAAAGCACCTAGCATTCGCTTTTCGTCGGATTTGGAGCGTCCTAGCCGCATAAGCTTCGGTGATGACGAGCCGTACCTAGGATTCAAGGATTCTCGACGGGGTAGCGTCACCTTCACGGACTCCACCCTAGGCACGCCAGCAATCACACCGGATGCTATATCGCCCGCCGTGACCCCGGGAGAGGAGACAACAGCCCAAAGACTCTCACGAGCCGCTGCTCTGTTCACGGGCAAAAGCAAGAGCAGACCTACGAGTCAAGCAGGAGAGGGCCGCATCAGTCTTACGATGACTCGACTCGGCGGGCTCATGCGACCCAGCAAGGAGCCGCTCCGTGACCCCAATAGCAACGTGAGCAGCAACGCGCTCGCGACGTCCATCAGTGCACCTATTCCTGATCCAGTAACTGAAGAGGAATTTGTCGAGAACGCTGATGCCGAACCAACACCGGTTGCGGCACCGGTTGCGGAAACCGACAGAAAAGACTCCAAGGATTTCAAAGAAAGGAAATCCTTGGAGCATCATCACAGGCATCACAAGAGAGGCAAGTCCAAGAGTCGCTCTACGGAAAAGAAGAAGCACAAGGATGGAGATGAGCCGGAGCGAGAGTGCGCAGTGATGTAGAGACTTTTCGACGACAGATCAAGAACGAAGGACAGACAAGAAGACAGAGTTATGAGTTTATCAGCGTGTTGATGAGTTTGGGGTTAGATTCGACGAGAGCTTGTCTCGGCCCTGGAACAGCGAGGAGTTTGGTGGGCCGAGATAGACTTGGAAAGCAGCAGCAGAGAAGAGGTACATACACTGTAGGTGACTTCGCGAGAGAGGTCGCAGCGCCTACAGATGATGAGCAGCACGAGAAGGGCGTTCTAGCGGAGTTTTTGTTCTTTCCTTTCGGGATCATGAAAAGAAAAACGGAATACCACGGAATTGGAAGCAAAGAGGGAGGGAGGGAGTCGATGTCATCCATCCCTCTCTACACACCACAGATAGCTTGGGATAAAAAATAATACTGCTGATGACTGGGTCGTCATTCATCAAGATTCAGCTACCTGACCTAATTTCCCAGTTCTGTGTGTTTCCCTTTTTGACGCGTTTGCATAACCGAATAACCGAATACCATGTTCCTGTTTCCCGCCATTGACTGGGGGAGGAAACGGCGTCCTGAACGTAGGACGCAAAACATCTTCGTGGGCAAAGTTATCCCACGGTACGAGCAAATTTGATGGGGTTTTCCATCCGCGATAGCAAATTCCGATCCGTCGTCCGTTATCAATGACCTTCCTTCCACGTTCGCTCAGGTCCACCACGAACGATAAAGGCAGGGAGATGAATGTGCCTCCCAACATCCTTTTCGTTTTCGAGCAAAGTAATAATCAGTGGACCAATCGAGCTTCCAAAAAAGTTTGGGGAAAAGGAACCCAGTGTGTGTAAAACAACCCTTAGTCCTCATCATTCTGACGATCAGCGACCATCTCGGCAGCCGCGTTGATGACCTTCTCGGGCGGGCGCTCGATGACGACGTTGGGCTCCGCGGGAGACGAGATGCCAGGCATAGGCGAGAGGTTGCCGCTGGCGACACCGCTGGCGCTTCCGCCGCCACCAGGGACGGGGATGATGATGTCCTCGGGGGAGCCGGGGGTGATCTTGGGGTCGACGCCGGGGATGTGAACGCGCTTGGCCTCGTTCTGGTAGGCGGCGGGGATGATCTCGATGATCTCGTCCCGGGGGAACTTGAGGATAGGGATGTCCATGGTGGCGCAGTGCATCAAGTAGGCGTAGAGAACGCGAAGAACAGACTCGTGCGCAATGATGAGGAGATCACTCTGCTCGCGCTCCAGCTCCAGGATGATGGGCTCGAGGCGGACGGCGAGATCGTGGTAGGACTATAGAATGTTAGTGTTGTACAAGGGAAAGCAGCGATGGTCTGTAGGCATACCTCAGCGCGGGGGTATCTATGATGATACGGGTCGAGCTCGTGCTTCTCGACCTCCTCAGGGTAGAGGTGGCGGATAGCTCGCTCCGACATCTTCTCGCAGACACCGGGGTTGATCTGGCTCATCTGCGAACGCTGGCGAACCTTGAAGCCCTTGTTCTTGAGATAATCCGCAGTCTGAACGGTGCGGCAACGGGTGGAGGTCCAGACGGACAGAGGGCGAAGGGGAACGGCATTGCCACCCTTCTCGACGAGGGCGGCGCGCTCCTGCTCGCGGTGCTTCAGAAGCGTCTCGGACATTCGAGCAGCGTACGCCATGCCCTCCTCGGAAAGAGGCGCATCCGCCTTGTACGAGTCTTCTTCGGTGGTAACGCCAGCTCGAACGAAGTAGGTGGTGCGCGACTTGATGTGAAGGTTGGTCAAGTAGAAGACGATGCGGTGAGAGAGGTAGCCAAAGGAGACATTGTTGTAGAAGAACTTCTGTCCCGCGTTGATCATCTTGATGTAGTTGAGCTCCTTCTCGTTCATGGTGTCGAAGACGGGGATCTTCATATCGATGCGGCGCAAGTACAACTTGGCGGCCTCATCGGGGTCCATGCCGGCGAACTGTACATGTTAGCAACGCACGGCTGTCGATTTCGTATGAGTACTCACGTCAGGGGAGGAGATCTTGACATTGCGCGCATTCTCACGCAGAATGGCCTCATCGTCGACGAAGGACTCAATGAACAGCGTCTACGAAACGTTAGTGACTTGAGTCAGTATAGTAGTCAAAACAAATCTCACCTGAACGTCGTGCTTCGCAAGCTCCTTAGCCAAGGCGCGACGACCAGCCGCAGTGGGGTTGACAGCATCGTAGATCGCAACCTGACCATTCTCATGGTTCAGCCAGGCATAGATATCCTCGCGGCACTTCTTCAGAATCTTCTGACGAAGAATGACGGACTGAGGAGAAGCGTCGGGGAAGAAGTAATCCTCAGGAACGATACCGCCCTTTCCAACGGTTGCACGACGATAGTCACCGAGGTGAAAGATGCGCGTCTTGACTCCCAACCTGAGAAAATGTCAGCTAAAGCGCCTCAGACAAGCCTTTTCGACTCACCAGCCCAAGTAACGCGCCAGGGAAACGCAGATGTGGCTGAAAAATGTTAGCTTTTTTTTTTCTTTTCAGACCGATGCTGGAGGAGTAACTTACGTCTTGCCACGAGCCGGAAGGCCTACCATGACAATCGCGATGCGACCAGAATGGAACAGGCGGCCAGACATTGTGCTATAGAGCTGAGCCGGCGCCATATCCTGATCCTCGGGGACATCATGAATGCCGTCGATGAAGGTCGAGCTCTTGCGACGGTATCTCGGCGCGTTGGCCGCGATTTCGGCGGTACTGTCATGAGAAGGCACGTCAATACCAAGTTCTCCGAGTTCCGGTCGAGGGCGAAAGAAGATTCTCTGGAGTTCGAAGATGCCGAGCATCTCGGCCCAGTCCATGGCAGCCCTCTCTCTCTCCATGACTGATCAGGTCGTAAAAGAGGATCAGAGGTAGTGATAGATGTTTCGATAGGGAAGTTGATGAGTAGGGAATAGAAGATGAATAAGGCAGTGATTTCAGAGCAGAGAATGAGTTTCAGAGGTAGTGATGGATATTGTGATGGGTAAGTTGACAGAGAAGAGAAGAAATAGAGTGAGCTCAGTGTAGAGAGAGAGGGAGAAAGAGAGGGAAGCAGGAGAAGTAAACAGCAGCTTAAGGGGCATGGAAAGAGGGGGCAAAGGGCGCTCGCCACGTTTGTAGTTCTGGTGATGTCGTGCGTCCTATTTGGGTATTCACACCTGGACACACCCGCCTCGTTTGTAAATAAGATCTCATAGCCACCAGCCGTCGACAGTCGAAAGTTGAGTATAGTCAGGCATGCTGAGTTTGGGTGGGAAGAGTCCAGTCGGGCGTGGGCTGTTTGAACGTGGTTGAGTTTGTTGGCAGCATGACAGCCCATGACAGAATGGTGAGTCCGAAGGTGACGGCCTCTGTTTCTGGGACTTTGTTTGTGTCCTTATGCCCCAGTGTGTTGAGATGAGCCAAAGACGCCTTTCAACTCTTGCCAATAGTCATTCGTGACGAGACCGTGCAAACAGCCATATGATGATGGACCTTTGCCATGGCAGTCTTTGTCTTATCAAGCGTTGCAAGTTCCTCTCACTTGAAAGTTGGACCTGTCATTGCGAAGATAGAAGATCCTGTATATCAGGAGGTCGGATTAGGGGCGAGCCATTATCGATAATGGAAGAGGGCTTAGGCGAGGTAGATTTGGCCAGCATAACTGACGAGTTGGCTTATAATCCAGCTTTCTGGAGACACTAGCTTCCTAAAAGCGACACGTGTTTCTGACTGGATTCGAAACGAAATCACGTAGTGTTTAGAAGCACTTGCCTCAGTCACAGAGGGGAAACTGGTATGCAGAATATGAACCGGCGGGGTTATGAAGACCCCTCCTTTTACAATAGATAGGTATCTAAGAAGAAAGGAACTCACAGTAGTGTGTCCATTCTGACGGTTGGAGCCGAATCTTTCCTGGAACCTCGAAACAACAACGGAGTCAAGGATGATGCTCCGTCGTCTGAGCTGGGAGCGGGTTGCGCTTGAGGCAACTACTCCGTACGGCCTCTGGACCGGGTGGAGGGACCGCTGCGGAAGACAAGAGCGGAGACACGGCGACGCACTGTCTGCTCTCGAGGTTCGGATGTGTTAAGTTGAGGGAAGTAGCCGTCGTTCTCCAGTCCTCGCGAAGTTTATCCGAGGTGTATCTTGCTCTCGATCAAGCGCAACGAACTTTGGTTGCAGCAGGTAAAATCGCGCAGGTAAGTTGCTTCAAAGGGTTTGGCGATGGCTATTCGAGGTTGAAGTGGCACTGGTGTCTGAGCTGTCCCGTTCCGATTTAAGCCGCCAATTTTTGTACGGCCCGCGGCTCTTACAAGGAGACTTTACGAAGGCCTGTGCTGCCGAAGCCCAACCAAAGAAGTGTTCAAGGAGTGGCGTAGAGTATGGTGAAATTCGCGAAGTCCCAGGAATCGTGATTCTAGGAATTTGAAGCCGAGGATATCTGAGATGTGAGTTGAACTAGGTCGTCGTCGCCCAGTAGCAAATCGCTTAGGTAGTTAGTGAGCACAAAGACTAACACTGTGAGAAGAGAAGGTGTTGGGCTCAGCGACAGAGAGGGCCAAGGGAACGTACCGGATGCGGGCAAGGGTCTGTCGTCCACCCTGGGACTAGCCCGGGGAGACGACCCGACAAGTCAGACCCGGTTAAGCTTCGGACCGACAGGGCCTGCTGGCCTGACGTAAGTCACTGCTGCCACCTAGAAAGCTGATGTTCATCACGTGATGAGGCAAGTACGATTCTGTCATTGACCGGGAGCTGGAGCTCCAGAAGAAAGATCCACCGCGACTTGGACCTGCCAGCTGTTCCCATTGGATTTAGCGTGGCATTGTGGCTCGTGCTCGACCAGCACCTCTGGCTGTAATCAGCGAAGAAATTTATTCAGACTTTCCAATCATCACCAACCCGACTCCGACTCGACGACCCTCTCTCCCCCCAACGCCCCTGCCTGCCCATTGCGCGAGCATCAACCGATCCCCAGGGCAGTCGCAGCTGTATTCTTTCGAATAGATTCAGATCATCTGGTTCCCGTATTCTTCTCTTTCCGCCTTTTTTTCTTTTCTTGCCCTTCCTCTACCCGGTTCTGTTCGACTCAGGCCGGCGCCGACCATCGCAGCAATGGCGTCAAGCTTGGAACAAATCCAGAATGTTCTCCTGAACAACCCCGTCGCCAACTCCCTCTCAGATGCCATCAGCTCCTTCTCGGAACGGAGGGCGAAGCTCGGCTTGTCCAATCCCGGTACCACCGAGAACTTGACTAGGGAGGTCCAGCGCGATGTCTTGCTCACGAACTACATGTTCACCGGCCTTCGCGCCGACCTGACCAAGGCCTTCAGCATGTCGCCTCTGTTCCAGGTTTCTCACCAATTCGCCATGGGCGAGCGTTTGAACCCGTACACCTTTGCTGCGTTGTACGGAACAAGCAAGGTTCGTCGACAATTGCGCTGCGAAGCAAAGCGCGATGAATCTAGCTAACTGGTTTTCTTAGGTCTTCTTGCAAGGAAATATGGACAACGACGGCCAGCTCTCCACCCGATTCAACTACCGATGGTCCGATAAGCTCGTCTCGAGAACTCAGTTCCAGGCCGCCCCTGGCGCCGGTCAGGAGATGCTCCAGTTCGAGAACGAATACACCGGCGACGACTTCACGGCTTCTCTTAAGATGCTCAACCCTTCCTGCCTGGACGGCGGTGTTACCGGTATCTTCATCGGTAGCTACCTCCAGTCGGTCACCCCCAAGCTTGCCCTCGGCCTCGAGACCGTCTGGCAGCGCCAGGCCATGACCCAGGGTCCCGAGACTGCCACATCATACTGCGCCCGTTACAAGTCCAACGACTGGGTTGCCACCGCTCAGCTCCAGGCTCAGGGTGCTCTGAACACCTCCTACTGGAGACGTCTGTCTGAGAAGGTTCAGGCCGGTGTTGACCTGTCCCTCTCGCTTGTCCCCGGTGCCGCTGGCGTCATGGGCGGTTTCCAGAAGGAGGGTGTCACCACTATTGGTGCCAAGTACGACTTCAGAATGTCTACCTTCCGCGCCCAGGTTGACTCCAAGGGCAAGCTCAGCTGTTTGTTGGAGAAACGCATTGCCGCCCCCGTCATGATGACTCTGGCTGCTGATGTTGACCACTTTTCTGTACGTACAACAATATCTTGGAAACGGAGAAGTTCACATACTAACAAATTCTCTAGCAACAAGCAAAGATCGGTGTCGGTATCTCCATCGAGGCTGGTGGCGAGGAGCTCCAGGAGCAGCAGGAGACTCTGGGTGCTCAGGGAACCCCCAACATCCCCTTCTAAACCTGAAAAGAAACACGAGGACGGCTTGGTGCATAGCCAAGTCAGAACCGAAGCTCCGCTCCTAATCGAACCCAATAATTGATGTTTTTCCCCGGCGAGGACAAGAAACGATCTCGACGAACTTGATTTTCTTTCGCAAGTTCTCATTCTTATACTGCTGTCTTAGTACAAACGACTTCACGCCTCAACAGCACGGACCCGACGAACCAGAGTATCGGATACTCCCCTCCCCTCTGGAGGTCTAGTCCGCCCGTCACGTTCTTGTTCGTCGAACCTCGACTTCTTTACTCGGCCGGATAGAAAGACCTGTGTATATTACGCTCAGCCCGAGCACAAGAATCAGGGCCAATATGGTGGTGTATTGGCCGGCTTGGATGCATTTTGGGAGGCTTGGAACGGCATACCCGAAGCGGAGTGGCTGATGCCACAACTCACGAGAGCATCTACACAAGGCTGCACATTACGAATGGCCTCCGTGATGAACAACTCTCGTATGTACTGTGTATGAAGGAGATAGAATTCAATGCTGATATAACATCACTTGCCATGTACCATGAGTATACTATAAACGTGAGGCAAGATATTGGACTGCGCAAAGTCTCCGGAACGCCTCACAAACAAAACTTTGCTCTGGGCAGTTTGCTAATTACGCTAGATATGTTCAGACTACTACAGGTTGTTACTCCGAAGCAATTTGCTTGTACAGCGCCTTCAGCTCATCGTCGCTCATTTCCTTGATGCCAAGCAACGCGTTGTCGCTCTTCGCCCACGGCTGGGCAAACTCCTTCTTGGAGCACGCGTACAAGAGCTGGGGGTACATCACATCAGGCGTCATGATACCCTTCTTGATAGACTCCATACAGTTCGCGTAGATCGCGTCAACGTCGACAGTCGTCGTCTCCCACGAACCGCTCACGGCCTCCTGAGCGAGCGCACCCATCTGCTTCTGCGACTTGACGGCGGACTGAATGTACGCGATCCTGTTGGCCGTCTCCTCGGGGTGCAGCAGGGTGCCCACGACAGCCTTGCCGACGTCGGCGAGCATCGTGTAGGGGATGACGTTGTCGCCGTCGTTGAAGAGCGAGAGCTTCTTGTTCTTGACGTCGACGCCCATGAAGCTGGACCGGATGCCCCAGTCGAGGAAGGGCCCGTTGGTGACGATGGTGTAGGTGAATTTGCCGCCGGGCGTCTCCTGGGCCTTTTGCTGCATGTGGCCGTGCGTCAGGGCCTTTATGCCAAAGATGGGCAGGCTGGGCACGTGGGCGCGCGTTGGGTCCAGGCCGAAGTCGGGCGGGATGTAGCGGTAGACGCCTGCGGCGACGGCGGCGTCGACGACGCAGGTTGCTACTTTGGGGTCGAAGCTGTTTGTCGAGTTGATGAGGGCATCTTGGCCCTTTAGGGCCTGGGTTAGGGAATCGAGGGACTCGTAGTCTACCTCTTTGACTGTGACGCCCGTGGGGAACTTTTGGGAGCCGGTTTTGCGGGTTAGGATTGTGATGGTGAATTTGTTGGAGTCCATGAGGGCCTTGAGGAGGGACGGGCCCAGGTTGCCGCCGGCCTGGAGTTTGTCAATGGGTGTTCAATCAGGGAGATGAGGTGATACTTACGCCGGCGAGAGCGACGTTCTTGATTGTTGGTGCCATGATGTCTAATTGGTAATGATCTTATGTTTCTTCTTGAGGAGCAAATCCAAAGTCTCTCATGAGTATTCAAGCTGGCTGCAGGTCCTTCTTATGAGCTCCGGAAGCTAAGCTATCTAAGAGGTGAACAAGGATGAGAGCTGCGTCGCGTCAGGTTCCGGACAGGAAGCTTCGAAAGCATATGCCGCTGTGACGCCATTCCGTTCCAGGCTCGTCTGAAGGTGATGCCGGTCCTTCATTCATGTTCGAACCGCCCGCGGGAAAGGAGTGACCTTCGCTCTTTCGCGCTCTTGAGCTCTGACCCTTTTGTCATCGTGGGAAATGGTTACAGCAGATGGGGCGCACGTCCGGTTCAACGTTCTCGAATACGTGCTGTGGCGGGTGTCTTTGCGTTTCTGCACTACACGGGCTGCCGCCATTTTGACATCTCGATTGTGTTTTTAAAACAGAACGCTGGGAAGCTCCGGGGACTACCCAAAGACATATCCACTGACAAGGTAGCCGTAGTCATTGGCTATCTATGCTGAGTCACCGTGAACAGGCCGGCAAACGATCGGTAACTGAGAATCAAACCCACGGAGGTATATAAGAGAGATTGAAAATGCAGAAGCTGCTCTTGGAATGTCTCGCCCCGCTCAGATTTAAAGAACATGCGCAGTCCATTGGCTCTGCAGCTGTCTGGATATGCATGACATTAGCCTTCAAGAGATGAGATGATGAGAGCCCGTGGCGGGTAAGCCGGATACGGGAACCTCACCATGTACTTCAAACTCAATTTACAAGAGCAAGAGAAAGCAATGAGACACCACAAATCCAAAACCCGAAGCTGACAAAAGAGAGATATGATTCTGAAGCGCGCGGGCACCCCGGCACGTTACGAATCCCGGTTGCGGTCGGTGCCGGAGTGGGGCCCCGGACACCGGAGGTCCGGTGGCCTGATCTTCGGGATGGTCGGGCGAGGTTGGGATACCCCTTCGACGAACGTTTCTCTGCTTGCTCAAGTCATCTTAGGTCTAGTTTATTGATTGAGAGCAAGATGGCAGTGGGAGTATGGAGTTCAATGGGACATGTTGTGAGTGCGAAATTGCTTCGCGTATGTGGCTTGGTGTTTCTCGTCCTCTTGTTCTCTCTGATCATTTTTCAATCGTCTTGTTGGAAGCGCGGTCTGCTCTTTGAAGAGGAGCAGGGAGGTTCACAGACTAAATAGGTGCCCATGACAAGTCAGTATGCTCTTCAGAAGAAAGTTCATCAAGACCATCTACAGCAATCAGAAAGACATAGAACCAGGAGCATGCACTGTCTAGCCTGCCCGGATAAGTTGCAGCCAAGCTCATAAAGCAACCTACATACACTATCCACACTTCAAGACGCATGATGCTCAGATTTCCCCTCCTTTGCACTGCCTTACCAAATGCCCAACAAAAAAAGCGGTTCAACTACAACTTCAAAATATTCACAATATCAAGGAAAAAGGTAATGCGGCGACCGAGACTCGAACTCGATGCATAAGCAAACGCCATTGAAGAAAATGGGAAGCTTATATGTTACCCTTACACCACCGCCGCAAGGAAGAGGAGCTTTGTGAGCTTGCTGCAAGTCCGAGGCATAAGCACACCTTATGTAGGGTCCTGAGGGGGGTTAAGGGAAGAGCTAGGCTCGATTGAGAGCCCCGTCCAACCAACCGTAAGGTACGACCGAAAGGCCGGGCGGGTGTAGGAGGACGTTTCACGGGTGTTGGTATTCGGTAGGGAGCAGGTATAGTTTCCCTGAATGTCTGGGGTAAATGATGAAGAGTGTCCGTTTCTCGAGAGAAGAGGAAGGGAAATGAAAGGAATTGGGAGAAGTGAAATGCTCAGGAATAAAAATGAGAAGAAAAGATTTTGGGTGCTATTAGGATATTACTTTTTTTTTCCCCCATGGCAAAACAGAGTGGTGGTCAGTGCACCAATGACCGCCACTCACCAGCAGATAACCCAAAGGCTCAACTCTTAGCACCGTTCCCGTCTTCACTGCTGTTGTTGGCACCATCACCATGCGTCCCTTCTCAAGTCTCCTTATCCACCTTTGTTTTCTTCTCTATAACTGCTATTATGATAGATAGCTGGAAAGGATAGAGAGAGAAAGAGAGACGACAGCTCATCAAGAAGAGGTCCAGCTAGTGTGCTAGCCCATGCTAAGCTCCTTGTATTCCAAGTACTATCGCTACTCTTCAGTATAACGGACCCTGAGACCTCGATCTTTCCATTGCTCCGAGTTCTATTCTTCTTAATCTAGAAGAACTCAATCGAACTGCGATTGAGTGAAACCCATCAAACTTAAGTGGGCTTGATTGTGCTTTTGCTTTGAGAGGCCTGCCATCTACCATGAAATCGCCTTCCCTAGACCAGACTTGCTGTGCGTAGTATTGCTGGCCGTAGAAGCGGGCGCCAGAGAGAATAGCATCAGCCAAAGACATGTACGGACCTTCCTGACGCATGCCTTTATCGTCGTTTCGTAGCGCAAGAGGGAGCTTTTTTCAATCGATCACGTACGTTTGCAGCGGTCCCTGACTGGTCCCTTGGCTCGAAGGTAGTTCGAAGACCAAAGCAAAGTCTCGTTCGTCAGCTGGTTCTGGCAGATTGCAGCGCAGGATGTACTGCCAAGGCTTGTCATCGGGGCTTCCTGGCACATTGGCAGGCGGTGGCATGGCGATGACAGTGTCGAATCTAGCTACGTCATTCTTGTAAGACATCGGAGGAAATGTTTCGATAATATTTAGCGGAGGGGCGGTGTGGACGGACGTCGAATAAGGGTTCAGGAAAAATATTCGAAAGGTGCCTGCGGCCAGTGACCGCTCCCATGAAGGCTCCCGCACGATGACCAGCTCTTTGCAGTTGGCCTCTCCCAGGTTCTTGAGACTAGTTTCGGAGAGTGCGACCGGCCCAGAGGGAGACCTAACAAACTCGTCGCCTGTATGCTTCGAAGGAGAGTTGTTTGCGAACAGCGGAAGACAGATCCTGTGACCTTTATCATCAAGAACATTTAACAACGCATAGTAGCAGTTGGGCGCGTTGTGCGATCCGCTCTTGAACTCAGACAGCAGGAGAACAGAGATTGATTCGGAGGCCTCTGTTGGTCATCCGAAACTCCGAAGAGGACCGTTCTATGACAGTGTCAGTATAAAATGAAGCGGCTCTTGTCATTGCAGCCGGTGATGTTGCAAAGAATTGTCCTCTGGTGTTGATAGCTCTGGTGTTGATAGCTCTGGTGCTGATAGGATTTCTGGGACCCCAGCAGACCAGTAGACTTTGGTCAGTGGTTTCCTTAATAATCTCTTGTTGCAGACGGACGAAGGCCATGTCACCCTCTCCGTAAAGAAGAGGCATATTGATGTCGAAGAGACCAAGGAGACAGTACGCCAAATCCTCTTTGCGTCAAGTCTGTCTCCTACTTGCCCACGACATTCTCGATGCCAGGCAAACATCAAGGAACGAATGTGTTTGTACCAAGATAGTCCTTGGTATACCAGTGATTTCTGAAAGTTGACCTTCCAAGGACTTTTTAGCTCCCACGGGCTCCCACTTCTTGTTATAGAAGTCCATGTCTAGTGGGGCCAAGAGCTCTTGCAGTGTCCACCCCCTGGTGAACCATCTGCAATGTGCGAACTCGAAAGGGGCGGTCCTAGCACTATCTGGCCCGAAATCCGACAAAAACACAAGACATAAGCGCGCCTCTTGGTACCATCGGAACATGGAGTTGATGGCTTCGGACAGTTCGGCACTGCTGATCTTGTCTATACAGCACGTGTCAACCCAAACATATTGTAATTCATGTTCTTTTGCAAGGCGTGCGCTCTGGACAATCTTGTCGGACCGTTGTCGTAGACTCTTGGCCTTGTTCGTCGACTTTATCGTAGCCGACGCCACTAGGGCTTCGACAGAAGCAAAAGCTTCGCGATTCTGCTCGTATTCGTGGAGCCAGCAGAGATATTGAAACGTAACTTCATCCCTTTCCCAAGTGTGAGAGAGAATCGCGTATTCAGGCATGTCGTCATCAAAGAATTCCTCCAACTGGAGGGAATCAACATTGATGAGCCTCATGCTTCCTTTGGATCGGAGAACCTTCGCGAGCACTAGTCTAAAATAGACGGTGCTGATTGAGACTGACTTTGCTGGTACAGTCAGTAATGCAGCACGCCGACCCATAAGTGAGATGTATGAATAATAGCGAAACGTTGAATACTTACGTAGATCAGCTCGGCGAAGAAGTCAGAAACTCGGTCGATTTGAACACTTCCGGTGCCGTGACTGAAGGTGCGGAAGTTAGTAAAGAGCGACCAAGAACTTCTACTTGGCGACCATTCAGCAGGACGGTCCCAGCTGGGCCGCACCAACACGTGAGGGGGATGCATGATAAACGAGGCTGCCTTCTACCAGCCAATGGATGGGGAGATAAATTCATGTTCTAAGGTATGTACGATATGTACCAATCGATTCCCTCATAGTGCTACCAAAAACTCCAGTAATGCTATAACTGACATGAAAAAAGCGGTAACGCCATGAAGCGCACTAGAGAGGAGGGATCTATGTCTGGGAAGTAATCAATGACCAAGGCGATGCCGGACTGTTTACCGGGCCTTGTGTCATCTAAACGACTTCTAGTCAAACAAATTGTAATGGGAGTTGCCCGGCGCCTGTCTACTGCTCTCATTGTAGGACGGGGGCGGCTGAGCCTGCGGTTGAGACTGCGAGGGTGCAGCGGGGAGGGCAGGCGGGGTGGTCGCAGTCTGCTGAGTCCACTGCGCCGTCTTGATCACCATTTTGGCGAAATACTGCTGGATAAACGACTCACTGAGATGTGTTAGCTCAAGTTCTGAGGTCTTTGGGGAAAGTGATCACTAACGTATAGTAACTGTGGTCCGAATTGTGAGGTTGGACCAGGTTGTGCGCAAGCTCGTGGGCCAACACCACCCACCACCACACAGCCGCCTCGGCCTTTGCTTCGCCACTTTGTGTTTTGAGAATCTTCTCCGCATGGAGCTGCAAGAAGAAGCGCAAGTTGCAGAAGACACTGCCGTTGCTGTTGAAAGCAATCGTCGAGCCAGACTCGTCGTAGAAGATGTGAAGAACTCGCGGTGAAAGCGCGTAAACGCTAGCGACCTCACTAAGAAGACCGGCAAACGCGTTGATGGGACCGTGGTTCCTCGAGAGGAACTGGGCCGGCTCAATTGACAACTTCTTGGAGACGAATACTTTCATACTGTTCGATGCCTCCGCCGCGAAAACGATATTCTGCGCGGGCGTGCTGTCACAGTAGGTGGCCTGTTCCTTCACCTCGTTGACGCTCGGTGGCGAGAACATGCTGTTGGAGTCATGAGCTCTGGTAGAGTTGATGGCGTTAAGCAAGTTCTGTCCCACAGTCGCTGGGTTGGTCACACGGCCATCATCGGGTTTCTTCTCCGTGCCGCTGCTGGGTTGGTTCGTAATACTTTGCGACTGCGGCCGACTCTCAGGAGGCTTGTCCATGAACTTTTGAAGCTGATCCTCCGCTTCATCGATCTCGTTAGCATCGAAGCCAAACCGACGAGTCAGATTCGAGAAGAGCCCCTTGCTCTTCCGCGACTGCTGTGGCGGAGGCGATCGGTGAACCTCTTCGGGACTGTCGTTCCCGAAAGAGCCCGGCATAACCGGCTCCGGTGTTTTTGCGGCTTGTCGGGCAGCCTCAGCAGCCTTTGCTTGCTGACTCCATTCTTTCTCTTTTTCTTGGATCCGCTTCTGCTCGGCTTCCAACGCCTTGCGGCGCTCCTCCTCGGCAACTCTTGCTTCAGCTTGCTTTGCACGAAGGATTCGATCGACGTTGTATCCTCGGGCTCTCAAGGCGTAGAGGTCTAGGTTAAGGAAGGGCTCGAAGTACAGATAGGCCTGCTGATTTGGCCGTGATAGGAGAAGCTGGCAGATAGCCTGACCAACCTGGTACATGTCAGGCTTATCCTCAGCTGCGACGTAGAGGATCCAACTTGAGCCGGATTGAGCGCTGGCGGCGGATCTCTTCTCCGTGTGAGATTGGCTGTGGCCCCTGAGTGAACGACGGAGTGCAACTGAGCGAACGAGTTCGACACGCAGGCTCTTCTCCAACCACTTGGCATCATGTTTGATGTAATCCCTTCGGTAGTTTGCATACTCGTGAAGGAAGATCTTGGACCGCTCGATAACATGCTTCCGCAGAGCAGCTGCCCGGTCTTGCTTGTCCGCATGAGGGCCAATTCTTACTTCCTCTTCCACAAGCGAGCTCAATGTCTGAGCGCCAAGCTGATGGTAGAATTCCTCGAGCACTTCCTCTTCGGGCGCAGTGATCAAGTAGTCCTTGAACAAGCGGTAGCTGATGATGTCGTCCAAGATGACGATTCGATTCGCAGTAGCCAGCTGGTACTGCTTAATAGGGGCATCGTCGTCGTCCACGTCAATAAGCTTATCCTTGGATGGCGGCGATGGGATCTCCTTGGCTGCGAGTAAGAAGGGAGAACACTTCATCTTGCGAATAAGCTCTTTGTCCTTCTTCAACGTCGGCATATTCTCTGCTAAAGACTTCAGAAGAGCGAGGTACTTATCCGGGCTCTGAAGAATGCTGAGAAGTCGTGCGGGCTCGGTGCAAGCTAGATTAGCTATCTCTGGCTTGCTTGGTTCCTCCTTGGCTCCACACTTGAAGAGGAATGTGTTCGCGTTCGTCCCGAAGTCAACAAAATCAAAGATGTTACCGTATGTCGCCGAAGTACCTAGGTAGCATCGCTTGGGGCTGAGGTGGGTGACATAAGAGCCACTCTTCTCGCCTGAATCGCGAGCCTGCCGTGTCACGGGAACAATGGGTGCGTCACGCAGCTTGGATAAGCTGCCCTCTCCAAGATCACTGTTCCGGAGGGCGAAGTACTCGAAGAGAGTGACAGCCATTTGTTGATCCTGAGGTGGCTTGGCCAGCAGACGAGACACGCACTCAGTGATGGGCGGGTCCCTAACCACCCCAAACTTGTTGGCATGCACGTGAAGATCTTTCTTCAGAATGTCGAAGCCCAGGATTGCGGCACGCTCGTTGGTGAAACAAGCCGAAGGCGTGACCAGCTTGTTGTCTTTCTGAATAGGCAAGAAAGCTTTGCGACTATCGGCAAGGTTGAAGGCCCCATAACCGTTGAGGTGATGGTTCGCAATGAAATAGGTCATCGCGGACGTCCTGAGCTCCGCATCTGTAGAAGCCATCATGTTGACCATTTCGATCACAGAAGGGTATGGTCGCAGGCCTAGGACGGCCAGGAATCGACCCTCCAAGCTGTTAGCTCTGTAGCTCCCGGGCGGACCAGGCCACTGCAACACAGGCAGCCGAAGAGTTCTGAGTGTATCCTTTGGCTCGAAGAGCTCCGAGACCTTGTACAGCTCAGTCATGCCTTTGGTTGACTCGCTTCCTTTCGCCCCAGTTTCTGCCGGACAAAATCGAGTATCCTTAAGCTTCATCATGTCGGCGGCGGGGATGTCATCCTTGACTGAGGCGAGGTACTTGATGAGCTCTATGTGACTCCACTTCTGCGCACCCTCAGCCGAGGGGCTCAACAATCTTGAAAAGATGGTGTCAAGGTCGACCGTCTTGCGTACTCCGATTGCCGAGAGAAACTTGTCTTTCAAGCCTTGGCAGCCTTGAATGATGGGCAGATCATCAAAAAGCTTGACGGTGGGGAGATATGAGTCGGTTGGCTTCTTCATGCCCGTCTTTGTCGGCATAACAGTATGAGCCTGGAGCAGAGTGATGATCACTGACTTGGAACTTTGGCTGATGTTGTCCCAGTTCTTGGACAGTACCGTAAGAACCTGAACGGCAAACTTTGGAGATTTTTTCAGATTTTGCTCGTCAGACCTGCTCGATCCCAACTCCAGCAGGAAACGCAACCATGGCACGACTTCCAAAGGCTCCCAACCAAGGGCTTGCAGCTCAGCAGTAGAACAATGGTTGGTGTATGCCATAGGTATAGTGCGCGGGGGGATTGGAAGATTCGCTGGAATCTTGTTCGGTACCTGATAATTGGCAATGGAACCAAGAGCAATGATATCGCCTTGGTCGCTGCCATCTTCAGTGACCGTGGCAACCGCGACATCCAGAAGGCGAGCTTTGCTGGGAGGATCCAGTTCTCCGCTAAGTGCCTTTTTACCGGCCCATGCAATGAAGTTGATGAGCTGCTCCTTATTCATTGCCTTGGCTTCCAGCTCTGTCCGCACGTCGTCAACAGTGATTGGGCTGATGAGTCCGAAGTCCATCAGCTTCCTGACGAAAGCATTTTCCATGAGCTCTCGGGGTACAACAGGGATGGTGTCGACGAACTTGCTGAGCTCATCAGAGCCAAGTCGGACCTTTGTGCTGGACAAAACACCTCTAGAAGAGAAGATCTCAATAGAAGCCTTCTTGAAGGCTGTCCAAAACGCTTCCTCGAGAATCTGGGACACTTGACCGCTTGGTGTAGAATCAGCGAAAGTGAATGTCTTGAGGATGTGTAGTGCTTCAGGTAAAAGCTTGGCGAGATCTTCTGCGCCAATCTTTGCCGCAGCTCCAATCATATTCTTGACTTTGGAGTCAAGATCGCTCATCTCGTTAATGAAAGCAAGTCTTGTCATGATACCAGCCGCCCGGAGCATCTCGATGTTCCATGTCCTGACCCATCGTGCATTGAGATCAATAGCTTCGCGCTCAACCGTAGGAATAACTGATTGCGCCGAGATGTGCATGCCGGCACCCGTTGTCTGCGTTGTGGGAAACCCGATAAAGATGCGGCCGCCGGGCTTCTTGCTAGGCAACACTGAAGCGAACACGTCCACAGACTTTGAGATGGTGGCGGAGCGTGAACTCTCTGAAGCCATGGTCTCATCATAGGACGAGGTGAGAATGGCTAGCTTCGTGGTCTTTGGCGGTGGTTTCTTTGTCGCGCGCTCCAACTCGGTCGCGAACGAAGTTGATACGCTGGTCTTGACCCAGGCGGTTGTCACTCGCAGGAAGATGGTTGAAGTAGAGAGCTTGGTCACGTCCTCACTAATCTCCTCCTGAGCAGCTGCCTCTTCTCTCTGCTGTCTCCCCTTCACAGTGACCTGTGACGCTGAAGACGTCAACCTCGAGAAGAAGCTCCGTAGTGAGGGCACTTCGGATCCAGCGCCATATGTGTCGGCTGACTTGGCCGCCGCCGTAGCCTTTGGCTTCCAGCCAGCGGCACTCATAACAGTCGCGTCGATCTGAGTGCTGGTTCGCTCG